GACACGGTGATCCACTGCCAAATAGATGGGGGAGGAAGGCACGTAGCAGCTGAAAACTCTCTGGAGTGCTCTCAGCTTTTGTGTGTCTCAACCTCCTCTCAGCATAAGAACGGTGTGAGTGGCCCATTCTTTATGCCAGGAGGATGGCTCAAAGAGTGCCCTCTGGAGCACTCTCAACTGCTACCTGTCTTGCTCTCCTCCCAACATAATGCCAAGAGGACAGCTTGAGTATCAGGGAAGGAGGATGGGGAGGGGGATGGGGGGGGGTCCAGGCAGTCTCCACATGTCCCACCTTCCTCCCAGCATAAGGATAGTGGAAGCAGCCCTGTCCTTATGCTGGGAGGACAACCTGAGGCTGACCCAGGCCCTGCCCTGCCTCCTCCTAGACCTGTCCTCTCCTAGCCCCATCCTCTCCCAGACCTTTCCCCTCCCAGGCCCACCCCACTCAGTGTGTGCCTGGCCCCCCTTCCTCCTTGCCTGGCCCAGCCCACAATGCAGCACCAAGACAAAAAAATTTACCCATGCCTGGTGTAGATGCACCTAAACAGAGGTTGAGCGGTGTTTTTTTTCTTTCATTTTTGAAGGGACTGTGTGAAAAGAAAAACAGTAATGTTGATTTTTCCATCCTCATCCCTCAAGCTGTATAGTGTAAATGCTTTCTTGGACTCTGAGAGACCATGGTTCAAATCCCCAATGAGCCATGAAAATTCACCAGAAATTGTCGGGTAAACAATTTTTTTCCCAGCCTTAGAATAAGGCAATAGCAAGCCTTATTAGCATTTTTTAAAAAAAATTAAAAAATCAAAGTTGTGAGTCCATTTGAAGGTACATAACAATAACAAGTGCTATAATTATAATGTGAAATGGTCCAAGGTTTTCCAACCATAAATACACATGATACTAATATTCTATCATAACACAGATATGACATTCACAAAACAGTAACCATGCAGACTTAAATCACCAAATGTATATGGATGGCAATTTTCTGATTTGGATCAGATTCAGCAACATGTTGAGATACCGGATGATGAAATAAACATTGCCAGGACATGTGCAGTAACAGGAAAAAAGACTCCAGTATTTAACTGCCAGCTTTGTCCCACTGAGTATTAGTAGATGTGAACATGTAATAGAAAGGACAGTGAGAATGTGAACATGTTATTCAAGAGTTTGGTGAAGCCTCCAAACCGAAGTTCCCAATGGAAGCCGGGTGTTTTCCGCAGCCGCACCCAACATTCTTTGTTGGTTGGTGCCACTTTGGAAATTATTAGTACAATAGGAAATGGCTGACTGGAGGGGTTTGTTTTGAGACTGTTTTTCTTCTCGCTTTCTCATTACTCTGCTAGACCCTAAATTCAGGAAGAGGAGGTGTTTATTTTGGCAGTGAGCTATTGTTTTCTGAAAGATACAAGCTTTGAATGGACAAGTTATACGAGCCAGCTTGTTATGTATAGAACAGAAGTCTCTCAAAGTTTTCTTTCTTTGTGGATTAGGCACTTTAGTGGAGTGGAGACTGAAACCAGTAAAAGTGTTGAATGCATTCAGATAAGCACTTGCTGTTGCCATGGGTATATATACACTGCATTTGCTTCTCCTTGCCTTCTTCCAATTTGTGCAGCTCACACTTAGTTCTGACATTATTGAGATGTCCTTATTTTATTACTGGAATTCAGATAAGCTTTGTAAAAACTCAAGATTGCTATATCTAGTCAAAAATAATCTTCCACTTTTTGTGCAACTTATAAAAGGCAAAATAAACTTTGCTAAACACCACCTGCTCACCATGTTTCTTGTTCCTGGCCAATTTTTTTTAATCTGCTGAAACCTCACAAAGCCCAAGCAACTAGACTGAAGCCTTTAAAACACACAATGGAATCGGAATTTGAGTTGATATAACTAGCAAGACCATATAGTAATTTCTTTCTTATATTGCCGTTATGTGTCTTCGTGTATACACAGCTTTTGGGATACCCTTATGAATTAAAATGTCTGGATAAACCAAAACAATGTTAAAGTTGAGTTTGGTCCACCCTTTTCTCCACACAACTTGAAATACCATATGTTTATTTTCATGAGGAAGCATTACAACGTGCAAATTCTCCTTCCCTAATAGCCAGAAACAGTACAATCAAGGAAAATCATATGGCCCTTACATACATCAGGGGGGGGGGGGGGAGAGGATATCCTCTCATACTTTCCAGATAAAAGGCAAGACATGTATGGCCAAGCACTGATAGAGTATGGTCAAAATGGCATTGCCTTTTACCATAGCTGATTTGAGCCACCTTTAGAAGAGGAAAGTGCGATAATGATGATGGAAGAATACACGAGCTAGAAAATGCTGCAGCAGTTTGCTTATGCCTGAGCAAACTGGGAAGGGCAAAATTCAGCTGTCTCATCTCCTTTTGCCCCATGCTGAATCAACTGAGTGCAAATTACTTTTGTACTTTGATCTCAGTTTGAAGCAATTGAAATAAAACAAAGGGGAAAGGAAGACAAAAAAGAAACTGAGGCATTTCAAAAGCAGTTGAGAAAATGGGAGAAAGAGAATTAATTGAGACTATTCCTACCAAATCTGGACAGTTGAAGAGTATGGAAATTGTTGATTTTCAGGTAGCAGAAAATAAGAAACAGAATCCTCTGGTTTGGAGCAGAAATCTTTGTTCCCTCTGGAACTCTGCCATGGTCACACAAGCAGATCAAGCATTTCTACACTGCTGATGGGATAGCTCTGGTGGAAGTGAGCAAGAACACACAGAATGCTCACAAAACATTATGGGGTGGCAGGAAAATATTGCATAAACATTTCTTAACGATCCCAAATGCTTGGAGATACTACTGACATATTAGTCTCAGGAAAAAGTGTGTGATCTACATTTATTACTGTACAGTGTGTAATCCTTGGTATTAACACTGATCAGTATCTTAATTACCTCATAATTAAGTACTATCTCCAAAAGGACTGATGTGATGTGGTTGTGATTATTATTACTGCCTTTTGTCCTTCATTTACAATATTTTATAACAATCTAAAGCATAAAAAACAGCCACACATTTAAAATGAAAAAGCTGAAACTTTCCCAAATTCTACTTGGAATACAGAGGTTCCCCTTTAGCAGTTGTGACCAATCCTTGTTGTTAAATCTCTTCTTCAATATGAAATGAGAGAAGAGGGTGAAAGATTCTACCAGCACCTTTAAGACTTTATGTTTTCATAGATAGTATTCACTTTCTTCAGATGCACTGAAGAAATGGACTGATATTCACAAATGCTCGTGCCAACTAGTTGGTCTCCTAGATACTCCTGGGATCCTTTGTTTCTTCCTACTTTTTATGGTGAAAAAGAGTATCAAGGCTATCTTTTTGGCTGTTTACTTAAGGGCTTTCTCAAGTTGTTTAAAGTAATGTCTGCTGATACTTACCTGGATAATAAACGTTATATTACATCAAGTGAAAAAATGAGGTGTTGTGATAAGCCTTTTACAATTTACTCCATTTTATATGAGAATCAGTGTTGTATTGTACTGTAACTCACAAGTTTTTCTTGATGCTTCTTTCTTTCTTTCTTTCTTTCTTTTAAGCAAACAGATAAAGCAATATGTTAAGGGAGGTAAAGAGTAAATGCTACATACAAAGTATACCTCAATTAACAAAGCTTCTCAGAGAAGCACCTTTAAAAGAATTATGCCTTCCCAACTCCCCCCCCCCCCCCCCCCATGGAAATGTTTATATCAGTATCAGCATTAAGATTGTGAAAGATGGCTAGATAAATACAGAGACTTTGGGTATTGGGTTGCCTGAATTGAGGTAAAATGGATTTTTACTCTACCTGGTCCACCTGTAGCCATATGTCTACAAAAGTCAAAGGTAAACAGCAGCTGCCTCCAGAATCTCTTTCTCAACATGTGAGAACAGCAAAGTGAGAAACAAGAAGTGGGCAGATATGCCTGCTTCATCCTATCACACCAAACAAACATAGACCTATACAGTTGACCACCAAAGTAGAAATCATATGAAAGAATGAGGTTGCTGAACGATCATATCTGAATGCATTTTGGAAGATGCCTACTAGTGATTTCTGGAAGGTTCAAGGTGTTTGCTCAACTCAAAAGTTTATTTGTCCTGGTTGTTTCATTACACGTGGGCATACCACTAGTTTTGAAGAGAAGGTTCACTGAAACAAACTGAACTTCTCTTCATTTCTGTAGTGAAAGAAGCAATTCCTGTTCTTTCTGTGTCATATGTCCCTCTGATGTGTTAAAGAAGCCCAGAATTCGATCAACAGTTGGCCTTTATAACCACAGATTCAGCACCCATGGATTCAATCACCCACAGTTTGAAAATGCACCATTCTCCCCAAAATTCCCCAAAGCAGATTTTGCTCCTTCCATACTATGTAAGAAACACCATTTTCTATGCTACTGTAAGCAATGGGACTTCAGCACCCATGGTTCTTGGTATTCATGAGTGAGTGAAGAAAACTTGAACAGATAGTAAGGATCTATTGTAGTTGCTTAACAGAAATGTACCAGTGTTGTCTTTTTAGTTGGTAGTGCCGGAAGCCTTCATCTGAAACACTGCCGGATTTACCATTGTGCTCAGGTGTGCTCAGACACAGGGCCCCGTTGGTGGATGGAAGGGGGCATCTTCCTGCCATTTTTTGTACAATGGATTTTGCCTATGTGGTGCAATTTTAAATTTGAAGGTATTCTTTTTCAGAGCTATTCCAAGCATAATATAGAGTTGTTAATCTATGGGAGTGTGCCACAAAGCAGCCTCTCTCCTTCAGGGCCTCACAGCTTAACTAGCACAGGGCATCATTTGTCCTAAATCTAACACTAGTCTGTATGTGTCTATAATTTCATTAAGGACCAGTCTTCATGGATTGTTTTCCTTATAATCATTAAAGCTGTCTTTATCAGCATTTTGGGGATCATCAGTATGAATGTACATGCTCAGCTCTGATGATTATGACACTACTGCCTATTGGATTTCAGGAAGAAAAGAATGGACAAGCTACTCCAAAAGTCATTGCCCAGGTTTCTTCTATTATCATTGCTTTATAGCATCATCCAAGCAAACGAAGGTAAGTTCCACATATACGTTAAAGTTTTGCCCTCATTTACAGGAATGGCTATTGTGTGAGCCTCCTCACACTGTTGAACTGCATTCTCCATCAGCTCTAATCAACACGAACAATGGAGAAGAGTGATGGCAGATGCAATCCAACAACATCTGAAAAACTGTGTGATGTCTACCCCTTCTGTACCCACATACAGCAAAAAAAAATATAAGTTTTCAAATCACATTGATCAGTGGTTTGCTTCTTGGTGCTCGGCAAAAAAAAAAAAGACACCATTATCATAGTTGCATATTGCAGGATGGGGCAAATTGTCTTTTCTTTCACAGCAGTACTTTTACATAGCATGAAAGCACACCTGTTTCTCATTGCTAGATGTCCAAGTTTATGTAAAATAACCAAACGGTGGTGCAGATAAGAAGAATTGAATTTTAAATTTCTGACATTCTAAACCTTTATTTCATCCTATAGTGAAGTACTTAAAGTCCAGTTGTACAGAGTATAGAACAGCCTTTTCTAACCTGATGCCCCTTAGATGTGTTAGGATCCAGCTCCCATCATCCCCAGCAAGCATGGTACTTAAGGGCCATGGGAGTCATGGTTCCACAAACCTGGAGAGTGTCAGATTCGCTAGCATCAAGTTTTAATATTTTACTACTTATCAGTAGTCTCAATACAAACAAACTGATCTCTGAAGACACAATGATTCCTGTGTTTTTCATTATATTTGTTGGCCTTCAACTGATATTGCCAGCTCTGAAATTTTGAGAAAAAGGGCTTTTTATATTAAGTGAAGTCCATCATTGCCTTTCTGATACATCCATTCTAAATGTTATCTTCTTTGCCCCTGTGGCTAATTGCGTCAAACTGTCAATCAGTTTGGCATCTGCAATGCAACTAGGATTGAAATGTGTCAACTATGACAGGAATTAGAATAGAACTCAGCTTTGTATCAGAGATGAGGAATATATAGCATTGCACAATGGCTACCTGCAAGTCCTATTATTCCTGAATATTATTATGCTGACTAGGACTTACGGGAGTTTCACTCTAACAGGCGAGCCTTTTTTCCTCATCCCTGATAAATCTATTCCCACATGACATATCCATTCACCTTAAATCTTATTTGTCCTCTTCTGTTGTCGTTCCAAGACAAATCTGTGTTGCTTCATTTCTAATGCATTGTTATTGTTTCCTAGTTAACCGCTGCACAGCTTCCAGAGCTGAAAGTTGTACCATGTGTATCCGAGTGAGCAAGGATTGCTCCTATTGCACTGATGAGGTGGGAGCATTTCATAAGAATTGTGTATACATCTCAAAGCACCACAGTTTTGGCATTTGTGAATCAACATACCCTTTATCCTCTCTGCTGCATTGGAAAACACCATGTACAAGATGAGATTGTTGTTCTGCTTCTGCAATCTGAAATTATGACTTACTCAGAACCCAAATTTATTCATAGCTCAAAGTACGAAGGACTGAAAGCAAGAATTGTGTGTCTTCCTAATGCAAAAAGGGGTGTTGTAGCTCCTCATAATAGCTGCCAATCAAAAATTGTCAGGCTAAAAGCTGGAGGAGGCTTTACTTCTATTAAAGATCACTACCATTGAAGGTCATAAGCAGCCCAACAACACACAATCATTAAAGGTACAGGAGCAATGTATTGTCAAAGGCTTTCATGGCCAGAATAATTGGATTGCAGTAAGTTTTCCAAGCTGTATGGCCATGTTTCAGAAGCATTATCTCCTAACATTTTGCCTGCATGTATGGCAGGCATCCTCAGAGGTTGAGATCTCACAACCTCTGAGGATGCTTGTCATAGATGCAGGCAAATCATTAGGAGCTAATGCTTCTGGAACATGGCCATGCAGCCTGGAAAACTCACAACAACCTGATACAGGAGCAGCTTCCAGTTTTTACTCTGGCAAGCCTCTTTGCTGCCCACTGAGCAAAATGACGTCATTTAAAAAATCCAAGTAATTTTATCTGTCTGGCCTGTACTTCCCCTTTGCTTTTTGATTTTGTTGTTCTTTCTCAGAAGGGATTTTGGAAAGGCTGGGGGCAGAATTGCTCCTCAGGCGCTGTGTGTTATGGGTTACAGAAAGAAAGATGAATGGCAGACAGTGGAGAAGGGAAGAGATGGAGTCATTTGTGGGAATGAAAAAAAGGAGGGGGATAGTGGGAGAAGGTGAGAAACAAAGCAAACTAGGTAACATGAGGTAGAGGGAGAAAATAGTGAGAGAGAGGGCTGGCTGGCTGGCTGGCTGGCTGGCAAAAAAAAAGATGGAAATGAGCCATATATAAAATAAAGAGAGTTCTCAATGGCTTAAAACAAAAATAATATTTGACATTGTTGTGTTCTATTGGGACAGAAAACTGTGGAAATGATTTGGGTCTCAGTGCTATTTCTGCATTATTCATTTTCTTGGGTCTCTTCTACATTGTCCTATATCCCAGTATCTGATCCAAGGTTGTCTTCTTATCCCAGATTATCTGGCAGTGGAGATTCATATAATCCATTTCAAAGCAGATAACCCGAGATCAGATCCTGGAATATTGGGCAGTGTAGATCCAGCTTAGGATGAGTTACTTGTATTTGAGGTCCCTTCCACACAGCTGAATAAAATCCCACATTTTCTGCTTTGATCTGGGTTATATGCAGTGTGGATTCAGATAACCCAGTTCAAAGCAGATATTGTGGGATTTTCTGCCTTTATATTCTGGGATATAGGGCTGTGTGGAAGGGCCCTTAGCCTCATGAGTTTGCCTTCTGTGATGGATATTGGTGGCTGTTTTTGCCCAATGTTATGAAGATTCCCATACAACCATTTTGTGGTGATACCTACTACACTTCCAGATGTCCCCAGAGCCTCCAACGGTAGATGATTCTAGCTGTGGCTATAAGTAACTGTAAATGTAATTTTTCAAGACCCTTTTCATCCTGTCCCAGCCTAATACTGGGGCAGAGAGCAGTTACCCATAAACAAAATACTAAGCACATGTTTTTGTCAAATTTCTTTACTGTAGAACTTCAAAAAGACCCGCTGTGATTTCAGAGAAAATCTAATGAGACATGGTTGTGGTGAAGGAAGCATAGTAGTCATGAAAGGAGAAATGTTAACAGTACAGGTGAGTGGATGGAAGTAAGACAGCTTGAGGAAGGAAAATAAGTAGGCACTAATAACTACACAGAGTGTGATACTCATTTAAATTGACCTAATATATACACCAAGGGTAGGTTTTGGGCCTACATTATGGATTTTAATAGGACCCTTGGATAGGTCAAGGATCATTCTGCAGAGAGGAGAAAGGACAATTGCATCCTTAGGGGTCTAACAGCCCCAGACCATCTCTGCCATTTCCAACCCAAGCAATAAAAAAGACCAGAAGCAGCACTTTGGTGGAAAAAGTAGAGGGAATTGGAGCCTCTTTTAGGTTCTCTCGGGATGGACAAAGCTCTTTCCTTTCGCCACCCAGTCAGAGAAGGAGCTGGTTCATTTTTAATAGTCTGGCTACAATGTTTGTGGATAAGTTGATCCAATTTTTTGAGTCAAACTTTTAAACTGAAATTTGTAGACTTCTATATAGATATATGGATTTTTGAATAATTTGTCCAAATCACTGCTGAATCCTTTCAAGTTCTTTGACTGCATATTACTGTTTGTCCTCTGGCAGGAATTTCACATTGATACATCTCTGAAGAAAACCCAAGTGTCCCCACAGAACGTAGCCATGAGGCTGAGAGCTGGAGAGGAAGCTAGCTTTTCCATGGATGTCTTTGAGCCCACTGAATCTCCCGTGGACCTCTACATTCTCATGGACTTTTCTTATTCCATGTCTGATGATTTGGACAACCTTAAGAAAATGGGCCAGAAACTTGGTGAGAATGGATTATCAGTAAGACTGGGTTTAGTTAATTGTGTACAATTTCTGAGTACAATTGACACAATGTACCAACTAGCTACCATTATGTTAGGAAACAAGCCAAAGACTATCAGATATTTGCTACCAGAATATTCCTTTATTCCCTTGGAATTAGAAGTCAATAAAGACTTAACTTTTGGTCCACTTTATCTGCAAGGACTCCTCCATCCCACACTTTTTTTTAAATCACTGATCCCAGACAGTTCTCAAGTTACAAACAAGATCTGTTCTGTATGTTTGTTCTTAAGTTGAATTTGTATGTAAGTCAGAACAGGTACATTTTTAAAGTGTAACTCTAGCCTAATTTGTTTTTAGTTTAGAATACACAGGGATTAACACCCCTGTGGTGTTTGTGTTGGTACCTGTGCTCCTGTTTAGAAGAATTCACCTCACTTTCTGTCGCTGAGAAAATTGGATTTTGAAACTTTTATGTTGTCATGGAAACAAGGATTGGTGACAAAGCTTCAGCTGAGACACATTTTCAGGAGTGGATTTCCCTTCCTAGGAGTAGATTTCTCTCACTTCCTGTTGCCTCACCCCTATTCTTAACTATTCTTAACTCATCCCTATTCTTAACTATGAGTCTTATGTTTGTAACTCAGGGACTGCTAGTTTAGGAGATGGAAATCTTCCAAAAATCTGTTTCTAGGTATCGTTAGCCAGCTAGCTTGCCAGAAATAACTGCATGGAGTTTGAAAAACATGTTACTAGTTTTGATTGTTTATGTGGTAATTTAATATACTGTGAAATAGTGTAACAACAAAATACTAGATCCTGCTCCAAGGACAGTGAAAGGGAGAAAAGATTAGAGGAACAGATGACAATGAATGGAAATGAAGGCAGGACTGGAACAAGATGCCTTGCTGTGTATGGCAGAGCAAAATACAGTTCCTCTAAGTCAGTGGTTCTCAACCTGTGGGTCCCCAAATATTTTGGCCCTCAACTCCCAGAAATCCTAAAAGCTGGTAAGCTGGCTGGGAGTTCTGTGAGTTGTAGGCCAAAACACCTGGGGACCCAAAAGATTGAGAACCACTGTTCTAAGTCAAGATCGATATAGTAGTACCCAAGTCAGCAAGCTATTGTGGCACCTGAGGCTGATGGTCTAACAGATGTCGCTACTTTTGCAGTAAATCGATTATTCTTTAAGAATTTACTATCTGAGGCAACAACTTCACTAATGACAACACCAGTCCCGGATGAATGCCAGCCAATCTTTATACTTTGAACTAAGTTGAATTTCATCTGTGGATCAGAATAAAGGGTTTGACAGAGGTTTTACAGAAAAGATGGGCTTTGGAGTTTACCAGAGGAGAGGGATATAGCACAGTGAAGCTGTTATAACAGGGAATCCTGCTTCCATTACTTTCTGTGATTAGAATTAAGTATATTTTTGGGACGTAAACTGAAAAAAAAATCCCCAAAAGTAAAATTATATGGGGTAGTCTAGCTCAATCTTAACCTGTTTTACACATTTACTTTGCCTGGGTTGCAAAATACAAATATTTTGATTTTCAATGGCCTGGGTGCCCACCTAATATCAACTGAAGCATGGTGTTTAATCGGTTTCCATTAAGGCAGTGGTTCTCAACCTGTGGGTCCTCAGATGTGTTGGCCTTCAATATCCAGAAATCCTAACAGCTGGTAAACTGGCTGGGATTTCTGGGAGCTGTAGGCCAAATCACCCGGGGACCCACAAGTTGAGGACCACTGCATTAAGGGAAAGCATGTTTAGGACAGAGAACTTTTCACTTACTTTCTCCCTTTCTTCCTGCCAGCAAACTTCTTGCAGGACTTGACTTCTGACTATACTATTGGCTTTGGCAAGTTTGTGGACAAAGTTACAGCCCCGCAGACCGACATGAGACCCACAAGGTATTTTAAAGTTGATGAATTCCATATACTTCAGAACAAACTATTTGGGATCTTATTGTTATTGTTTTTTAGAGTAATAGTTTTATCTAATCTGTGAGTAGTGCCAATGACTGATCTAAATAATGCTTTATCATGCCATTACTTTAATTAATCTTGTATGTGTGACTTAATTTAGTCATATATAACATATCTGCTTTCAGTCTGTATTAATTTACTTTTATTGCTACCTTGAAAAATTGCACTATTAACTAGGAAGGTGCTTACATGGAATCTTTATGTAGCATCTTTGCTTTCCTATTCATGTGTCTGATGAGATAAGCTTGAAGGTATGGCATCTATTTCTGTTTTAGCTGTTGTCATCATTTGTTTGTGAACCTCTAAAAATGTTAAGACTCACTTTTTTGCTTCATATAGCTTTTTTTTTTAGAATGTATTATCTCTTTCCTACTCTAGACATTTCTAATATCAGTGTTTTGATTTCCTTTTGTAATAACAAGGCATTTCCCTGTTATTTTTTCCTCAGGCTGCGTGAGCCCTGGACTGATGCTGACCCTCCCTTCTCCTTTAAGAATGTCATCCGGCTGACTCATAATATTGATAAATTCAGTAATGAATTAATGAAGGAGCGAATCTCGGGCAACCTGGATGCCCCAGAAGGTGGATTTGATGCCATATTGCAAACAGCTGTTTGCAAAGTGAGTAAAGACATGATGAAAAGAACATAGATATAATGATTTAATGAGAGTTAGGTAAATATATGCTTTCTTTGCCATTCACTGAGTTGTGAGATCAGTGGACAAAAAATCAAGGGCAGCACTTCATTTTAATGAGCAACAGAACAGCGGGTATTTTACTAAGAACCTTAATAACCACTCTAGAATCACCTTATCATTATTTGACCACAGACCTTTTGCAATACACAATTATAGCAATATGATGTCACTCTAACATCCACAGATGCACCCTGTGGAATCCCGGGATTTGCAGTTTTCTTGGTGCATTGCAGCAATAGTGGGCAGAATGCAGCCCATAACTGCATGTGGTCCCTAGAGCCATAGCACACTCCCATTGGGATACTCCAACTTGAGTAGCATCTTAAATCTGGTAAATGTTACACAAACATTTTTGTAAACCTAGTAGCTTAGAATGGTTGTAAATTTAGTGAGCTGTGCCTTGTCAACACGTAAGAGATAAGAACTGCGCAGGGAAGATAACAGAGGAGTGCCTAGACATGGTCAATATTAGCAGGAAAACAACAGATTAACTTCTCATTCCTCTCAACTAATCTCAGGCTGGACTATATTTGGAGGTGATGTCTCATGATTAGACATTTTGCTGATAGTGCTAGAGTAGCTATGAAATTCCTCTAAAGCATAAAATATCTTCCTCTAAAGTCACATTCCAGCTATTGGAGCAGCTTTTGGGCATCTTTCTTTCTTCTGAACAAATGAAACCCCTTTTATACTTGTATCTTTCCCTGTGCCCACAGGAGAATATTGGCTGGCGGAATGACAGCACTCATCTCCTGGTGTTCTCCACTGAGTCGGCCTTCCATTATGAAGCTGATGGTGCCAATGTCCTTGCTGGTATTCTGAGGAGGAACGATGAAAGGTGTCACCTGAACAGAGCAGGAACTTACACCTTTGACACCAAGCAGGACTACCCTTCTGTGCCTACCCTTGTGAGACTCCTGGGGAGGAGTAACATCATCCCCATATTTGCCGTCACCAACCACTCCTACGATTACTATGAGGTAAAAATCCTGGTGGATGGCAATGTTTTCAGCTTTACTAATACTAGCCCTTAGAGTAGTGCCATTCGAATTGTGGGTCTTTGAACCAGGGCTGGTTCTTGAGTGTGGACTACCAAACCCTGACAGGTTTCAGAGATGGAAAGATACAATGGTCCCAATTATGATGCTGTTCCCTGATATATTATGGAGGAAATACCAATTACTTGAGAAACACAGCTTTAAACCGTTGCTTGAAAATGGATCCAACTTTAGAGAGAAACTTGGTAAAGGTTCATAGGGATCTACTCTCCCACCAAGAACAAGATTACCTAGTGTTGTTGTGTGGGGATGGCTGGTATTAAAGGTTGTCTAAGAATTCTCCAGTTATTTATTTATTAATTTCTATAGTGTGTTGAGTACTATATTTAAGTGGTATTATTCCTTCCCTAAGAAAACTTTATGAAATGCATTGGGTTGCCCTACATTGTCAGGCAACTTGAAGATACAAGCATACACACACTGGGATTTTTCACCATCTTCTAACAAATGACCTGTTTTACTTGCCTAAAATTTCTTTGAATTTGAAAAAATTAAAAGTATTGTAGCACTGTAAATGGCACTCCATGCAGTCATGCTGGCCACATGACCTTGGAGGTGTCTACGGAAAACACCGGCTCTTCAGCTTAGAAATGGAGATGAGCACCACTCCCCAGAGTTGGACATGACTAGACTTAATGTCAGGGGAAACCTTTACCTTTAGTGCTGTAAAGAGTTTTAAAAAATGTTTATTTGGCTTTCTAAATGTCTATAAAAAGTTTAGGCCAAAAAGGTTATTAGTACCATGAATAACATGGCTATCCCGCTTCGTTTTTTTAAAAACAATATATAATGTTAATGTGTTGCTCATCTTGGTCCTCTTGTGACATACCATGAATTATGTACAGCGTAATCATTTAGGAGTCTGTGGATTTTGTGATTCAGTGCAAAAGGGTGGGATTCAGCTTACCTTCAGATATGTCTTCATCTAAGACCTTGGTGATGAATATCTTTCAGTTTTTCCTTCAGAGCAAATATTAAAGTCCACCTCTGAAGAGCAGTGGGGACACCCAGTGGCTAGTTAGGTACCTGAGGTTGTGTTACTGTTGTGTGTCTTGGAGTTATTTCCAAGCTTTGGCTACCCTAAGGTGAACCGATTACATATGTTTCTTGGCAAGATGTATTCATAAGTAACTTGACCAGGGTCGTTCAGTGGGTTTTTGTGGACAAGGAAGGATTAGAACTCTGACTTCCAGAGTTGTAGTCCAACGAACTACATCATGCTTAGCTTACTTCAGTGATAACTGTTCAAAAAATGGATTTTTATCAGCATTTAAACCAAAATAAATGTAATCAGAGAACTCCAGTGGTGTAGCAGGTTAAACTAAGGTCGGCAGTTCAAATCCAGGGAGCGAGGTGAACTCCTGCTGTTAGGCCCACCTTCTGCCAACTTAACAGTTCAAAAACATGCAAATGTGAGTAGGTACCGCTTTTGCAGGAAGGTAACTGTGCTACATGCAGTCATGCTAGCCACATGACCTTGGAGGTATCTATGGACAACTCCAGCTCTTCGGCTTAGAAATTGAGATGGGCACCACTCCCCAGAGTTGGACATTACTAGACTTAATGTCAGGGGAAACCTTTACCTTTACCTGTATGTAATCAGAAGATCCACACTGGATATCTTGAATTTTTAGGCATTTAAGGAAAGTTGTGTTGGTTCATTCCCCAAATTCCTTTAGTCTAGCATTCCGTTTCCTACAGTGTCCAACCACAAACCCAAATGTTGATAAGCAGTGACATGAATGGTATGCCCTGAATCTTTTCCCACTCAGGCTCAAAGGCTGACACTAAGTCCTCCTGTTGAGGCAATGCAAAAAGCAAACTAGATCATGAAGACAACATTACTCAATATGTAAATAGTTGCTGCAGGAAAGTTCTAGAACTCATGGCAAGTGAGGAAGGGAAGTCTAGCTCTTTCATTGCTATGATCTCTGATTATATTATTAATAATAGCTCCTGGATGTTGGTGTTCATGATTTAAGGGAAGCTTTAATTTATCAGTGGAGACTTCTTTTGAAATGGAAAGCATTTGTAGATGCATTCCACTTTATCAGATGCATCTGACAAATTGAACTGTATCCACAAAGGCTAGACGCCTTCTTCCCAGTTAGGCTCAAAGGTTCTATAGAATTCCTTAAATCTTTTTTATGCCAAAACAAACGAACATGGCTGTTTCCTTGAATGCTGCTATTATGGCATTCATGGCTTCAAATATGGCCCTGGAAAAACCTATTACCTGTCTGAGATTTTAAATTGATTTTTAATTAAAGAAGCCTAGCAGGAAAAAGGTATATTCTTTCTTGTCCCTTTGTGGGAGAGGTTAGAATAGTGAAAGGACAGAGTAAGGGAAAGTCGTATCAGTTACTTTAAGACCCTGGGTAGAGTCACAATCATATGACAATCTACCATAACTAAATCCTATTGGAATCAATGGGAAAAATCATAAGTAACTTTTCTAAGTCTAGTCCAGCTTCCCTTGACTAGATCCAGAATTTCCGTCTGGATTCTCATTTCTTATGTACAATGAAATCATGAACTCTGTTTCTTACTTTCTTGTTCAATGCTGTGTATAGGATTGGAACCCTCATGTTATAATGCAACTTTTTGTTTAAAAATACAGAAGCTGCACACATATTTCCCAATCTCTGAAATTGGAAGACTACAGGAAGACTCCTCTAATATTGTGGAATTGATCAAAATGGCTTTTGACGTAAGAAACAGTTCCAGACATTCTAAATTGTGATTAATCTTGTTGACGCGACACCACTGCCACTCCTGGAAATAGGAAACTGCTACTAGCCAGCTGTAGTGACATAATTTCAATGTCAGTGAAGCAATAAATGCTTTCCAGATTTTAGTGAGAAGTTTAAAGCAATTTTCCAAGATGCTGGATTGTACACCCAATTTTCTACCTTGATATTTTGGGATATAGGGCTATGTGGAAGGGCCCTCACTATTTACATTCATGGTGAAATTCCTTGATCATTCTGAGGACACATCTGCACTATAGAATGAATGCAGGTGATAGCACTTTAACTTCAATGCAATCCTGACCATTGCAATTTCACAAGTTCTTTAGCTTTCTCTGCCAAAGAGTGATGTTGCCTTACCAAACTGCAACTCCTAGCACTCCATAGCATTGAACCATGGTAGTTCAAGTGGTGTCAAACTGCATTCATTCTCCAGTGTAGTTGTACCCTTGGATTTCTTACACTTGCAGAATATGTAAGCTGCCTCACCAAGTAGAAAAGGTTTATATTTGGTAAACAGTTTGAAAAATTAAAATATTTGATACTACACAGCCCTATATCCCACAATATCAAAGCAGAAAATCCCACAATATCTGCTTTGAACTGAATTATCTAAATCCACACTCAGATAATGTGGGATTTTCTGCCTTGATAATCTGGGATATAGGGCTCTGTGGAAGGGTCCCTTGTCTTCAGATATAACTGTAGTTTAGAACTTACATTCAGAGTAAATCCTGAATGTAAACTCATCAAAAGCATTATTAGAACAACTTTAGGCACCTTCCAGACAGGCCATGTATCCCAGGATGTAATCCCAGGTTTTCTGATTTAAACTGGATTAGATGAGTCTGCAGTTTCAGATAATCTGGAATAAACAGAAAACCTGGGATCAGATCCTGGGATATATGGCCTGTCTGGAGGTTCCCTTAGTGGTCAGGTTTGCATTGGACTGCTTGGAACGTAACTGTTGCTGCCAATGTAAACTTGATAATCGTCATCAAAATATCCAACATAGTCTCTCTTTAATTCAGGAGGGCTCACCTTAAAAGGCTGCTAATAGTATTGGACAAATAATTTCCTTCCATTCTTAAAAGGGAAGATAAGCAGGTGTTTTTCTGTGGCAACACTGCTACCATTTATTAGTGACATCGTTTATTGGCAGTCGTTATCATCACTATAATAGGCAATCACTCATGATGTTTATCTTCCCAAGGGTCCGTAAGTGACTGTGGAGATGTTTTCTGAATCCACATAGTTGGAAATCGATTTCCAGGTGGAAGGTGGTCCCTACAAGGGTTGACACATCTTCCTCTTGGCATGCTTCCCCCTTTCACCCTCTATTTGTGTTTCTTTAAAATCCACAACACTGTTGATAACAGCTGACCTCCAGTTAGATATTCGAGGGCCAGGGCTTCCCAGTTCTCAGTGTTTATGCCACATTTTAAAAGGTTAGATTTAGACCCATCTTTACATGTCTTTTGCTGTCCACCAACATTCTGTTTTCCATTCTTGAGCTGAGAGTAGAGTAACTGCTTTGGGAGACAATGATTGGCAGTATTGCCATTGAACCATTTTAGTTCTTTCATATAATGTTACATGCAATGGCTACATGTTATGGATTATTGGGACATGTAGTTTTATGAGATATTTAGAATTCAAAGTATCTTACCAAACTACAAATCCCAGAATTCCATAGGATAAAGCCATCAGACAGCTATTACTGTGCAGGATACAAAAATGGTCTGAATGCAGCGCACAGGCTCTGTGTTGCTTAACCATGCACTGGAGCAATTTGGGAACTTTGTTACTGCAACATTAGGCTGCTGACAGTGTATACAAAAGAAAAAGCAACAACTATCCTCTGTGAATATGGTTGAATGTAATGGTCAGATTACTTAATGTGGAAAGGAGGGATCACTGACTTATACTTGTTCTAGGTTTTTAAAAAATGTTTTTTATGTTTTCCTTTCTTGCATTTATTTCCCAGCGCATTCGCTCCAAGATGGACATTCGGGCTTATGACACCCCCAAAGCTATGAAAACAGAAATAACATCCATGAAGTATGAAAAGACAGAGTCTGGTTCATTCCAGGTTGTTCGTGGCGAAGTGGTATGTCGTATTATTTGCATTCCTGATACTCCGAGTGGCCTAAAATAAAAAAAATTAAAACCCTCTTGTATAAATAAGGTGATTCAAGGTACTTTGGTTTTTGAACCATCATATAGACTCTGGGTGAGTGGTAGTAGGTTTCCTATGTAGCCTGAAAAGAGCAGACAAGAACTCCCAAAGATGCCAGAAACGAGAATGGTCTTCTGTTCACGCTCTTATCCTCAAGCCAGAAGAGGGCCCAACTGGAGCCTGGGTGCAGAATCTACTACTTCCAATCCTGACTTTAAGCTCATGAGCTGCTCCTGGTAGAAAGAGACTGCTAGTCAATTATATCCTGCAGAAATTGTAGGATTAAGCACAGTTCTAGGACCATAGCAGTCACCGTAAACCATAACTGTATCTGCTAATTAGGAGAGAAACAGTTGTGACCCATCTCCTAAACTGATTTTTCTCCCAACCTGGGTAAACATAGCAAATGTACAAATGTTTCTTTTCCATCCAGGGAACATTCAATGTTCGTGTGAAAGCCCATGAGAATGTGGGTGGAGAGCATGTCTGCAATCTTCCAGAGAAGGACCGGAAAGGTGTTATTCATGTTAAGCCTTCCTCTTTCAGTCACAAAATGGAGATTGATGCTTCAGTCATTTGTGATGCCTGCCCATGCGAAAAGGTACTTCCGTTTTCATACAGAACTACATTCAGCATGTGTGTGTATATAGAATTCTTGTAATGTTTGTGTGTTTTGACCGGGCTGTGACTGGCTTCAAGCCACAAGGAGAGGTGTGTAAGGAATATGGAATTCCTTGCCTCCCTATTTGAGAGCCATGCGCGACTTAAGGCTTTTTGCTCTAGCACTTAAAACCTGGCTTTTTACTAGAGCATTTGACCCATGTTAATTTTTTAATATATGTTTGTATGTATTTTATTCTGTACAACTTTGCTATGTAAATCACCTAGAGCATCTCAGATGGAGGGCAATTAATAAGTAATTAAATATGATGATGATGATGATTAATAAAATTATTATTATTATTATTTGCACAATTTATTGATTGTGTAGCAGTAATTACCACTAAAATTAATAAGTTTTCTAATTAAGAAAATAAAACTATGTTTGTGATGAACCACATGGAAGAGCTATAATGGAAACTACTCAAGAATTAACCATAGTACATAAGAAGGAAAAAAATTCCAAATCTTGTTTATGTAGTAAGGATTATATGAAACTTATATATAATATGTGTATTATATGTTATGTACTATATGCATGTATGAAACTCTTATAAGGGATTGGCTTAAACTCCCACTTTCTAGTAAAGCTGACTTACCGTGTTGAAAAAGGATACATGTCTAAAAAGCATGTCACCAACATGAAATAATTGAGGAGCTCTGCCCTAAAATGAAGTTCAAGAGCATTTCTTCTCTCATTCTTTGCAGCAACAGGAAGTTAATTCTGCTAGGTGCAACTTCAATGGGAACTTTGTCTGTGGACAGTGTGTTTGTAATCCTGGCTGGTAAGTGTCTCATAAACGTTCCTCACTAGAGTCTATCCTACCTTCACTTTCCTCCAGTATAAGGTATGGATGCTGCTCCTTGCCTTTCAAAGAGAAAGGTCCTAAGCTTGTCTCAAGTTTCTGGATGTAATAGATTCCCAAGACAGCTGTACCTTTCCTACATTATACAGCAGTGACATATAGGTAGGACCCTTCCCCCAAACCCGAATCAAGTCCCTTCATACCCAGTGGGCAAAACTCACTTACAGGAGGAATAAATGCCAATTCATAAAGGTGTGAGGACTATTTCTAGAAGTCAAAGGAGCTAAAGGTACATGGATCTAGAGGAAAATGGACAAGTGGTAGAGATCATTCATACCAGTTTCAACATTTTCACAAGCATACAAAGCACAGCTAAATCTTGTGCAAAAATACTTGAGAGTATATTCAAATATAGCGGTTTATTGGGCTGCAAAGCACATCCCAGTTTCAGATAACAGGTCACTATGAACTGTGACTAAGTGTTATTTTGAATTTGCATTAAAGTTAAAAACTTTTCTCTAGTTCCCATGTCATTAACATCTTATCAGCTAGTGAAAGTACAGCAAGTAAAGCTACATGTGTCTTCGTGATGGGGAAAAGCTTAATTAGACGAGCCTCTCACATACAATTGTCAAATGGAATAATAGTGTCTTGCTCTTCATCTCACTCATCAGACCAATATTCTTAAGGTTAGATAGAAATGAAAAGTTGAAACTAGTACATAGAGCAGAATACACTGTCTTTAAGAATTAAATTAGACAAAATGTTTAGAAACATATCAGAGGAATTCTCCTGCAAGGTGAGAGATGTATCTCGGAGGACATCTACATTGCAGAATTAATGCAGTTTGACAGCACTTTAACAGCCATGGCTCAGCGCTATGGATTCATGGGAGTTGTTTTTTTTTTAAAAGGCCTTTAACCTTTTATATTAAAGAGGGCTGCTGCCTTACCAGGCTACAAACCTCATATTCCATAACAAGGAACCATGGCAGTTAAATAACACTGGCGATTTTATCTGTATTTTGGAAATCTACTACATAACCCAACATACAGATACCGACAAAAGTGGTATTAAATAACATTCACTCTATGGTGTAAATGCATTCCTCGCTTGGGTATCTTGGAGTTAACATGTTTAATTTCACTGGAAGATAAACAAGTGTGATAGCTAAGGCATGCATCTCTAGAGAAATCATTTTTGGGAAGTTTTATGATTTGCTCTTGAGTCTCTTTCCCCAGTCACCTCCTGACAAAGGGTGCACCCTTCTACACTGTAGAAAAGATGCAGTTTGACCCCACTTTAAGGAATTCTAGGATTTGTAGTTTGGTGAGCTACCAGCAGTTTGGCAGAGGAGGCTAAATATTCCATGATTCCATAACATTGAGTCAGAGCAGTTAAAGTGGTCTCAAACCGCATTAATTCCAGAGTGTTGATGCACCCAAAGAGAGATCAAGTAGTGGGTTTTTTTTCCCTTTCATTTTGAGAGGGACTGTTTGAGGAGGAAAACAGTAATGTTGATGTTTTTTCACCTCCGTCTCTCAAGCTGTACAGTGCACACTGTAAGTTTTAATATGAGTCACCTTGAGTCCCATTTTTGGGAGAAAGTGGGCTATAAAAATAGATAAATAAATAAATAAAGTTGACCATATTCTTAGCTTTGAGCTGTTCTCTCCATAACAGGCGAGGAGAAGTCTGTAACTGCTCTTCCTCTTCCTCTACTGACAATGCGGCTTGTATAAGACCTGGAGATACAGAGCCTTGCTCAGGTCAAGGAGAGTGTTTGTGTGGGGTTTGTCAATGCTACCCTGATCATCAGATCCAGCGCTTTGAGGGACAGTTTTGTGAATTTGACAACTTACAATGTCCCCGCACATCTGGATTCCTCTGCAATGGTGAGTGAGACCTTGAGGGGTAGAGACTGGGATTGGTCTGTTCTTGGTGGATATGATGTGTGACATTTCTCTTGTGGGCTAAACTTTTACTTTTGCTAATGTTGCTGAAGTGTTGTACTTCACAACTATAAGGCTGCAGTTGCTAATGTTCTTTCAAGGGGGTGTTGATGGAAGAGTAGAGTTGCCCTCCCATACACCTGTAACCTATTGTTCAAGATGCTTGAGTTTGGCTGCCAGCTATCACTGTCTCCTCTCTGCAGACCGAGGTCGCTGCTACATGGGCCAGTGTGCATGTGAAAGTGGTTGGGAAGGTCCTGGTTGTGAATGTCCCACAAGCAATGAAACTTGCATCACGAGCAACGGGGTAAGTACTCATGATTTCTCCTTCCTCTGAGAACTATAGTTACAGGTGACTAGAGGAGCACAAGCCATTAAAGACTCAAATGATGAATTGTTCAACCAAGATTCTGGATGGCTCAGAGCTGATATAGCACAAGCCACAGGTAGAAATCTTGTGGATATCACAAGCAGACATAACCCACGGGTATAGATACTTTTGGGGATGTTCTAGATTGGATTATCCAATACGTCTGTGCACAGCACTTTCTTTCGCAACAGCTATGACCCAAACTATCAGGATGGAAAAGCTGGGCTTCCCAGACTGTCCACTCCATGATCTTACGCCTGATTCTGTGCTCCTTTTATCCTTCCTGGTGGATGTAGTACTGCATATATGTTGTGGGAGGTGGAAGTGTTTGATATGAGAGCTAAAGGATAATTACACTCTGGCTTACTTATGTCTCCAGGAATAACAAATCAAGGTGGTTAAGGTTAAAATGTGAACAATATTAATTTCTTCTTTATCCCTACCGTCTGTTCTTCAGAGATGTAGCTATTATGAAGTGTCTTTTCAATTCTACTATATTTTGTTGCTCTCCAAATAGTCTATTATTCCTACATTTTATTTGGGATTTTTTTAAGTGGAAAGAAAGTATCCCTGATTAGGCAGGAACTCCTTCTCTCATTTGTAACTTTCCTCTTGGCCGTGGAAAGAAATCCACCACTCAATTCAAGTATGTGTTTGTTATTTTTCAATGCATGAAAACAATATCACAAGGTGGGAATTCAGCAGTTACCCCTGCTTCTTACAGATGATCTGCAACGAACGTGGAAGATGTGAATGTGGTCGATGTATCTGTAATAATCCCACTCCTTTTACTGGACCCACCTGCGAAATCAGTGACTTGGTAAGTTACCACTGAGCCAGTGACTATTTATGACTCAGTATTAATAGTGATCAGTATTCATAATGCATTATTCCTTATTACAAGAACTTAAGCCAGTTCGTGCATAATATTCTACTGATGTTGTGCTTAACCTCTAAAACTATATTGGCAGTTTGCTATGTCCCTGATGAACACATCCAACTGGACATTTTTGCACACAGATCAAGATCATTATAAATGTTGTTGCAGATGTATACTTTATTAGCCTTCAATGTTCCCCTGTGTACATTTACTCTTCTTGCAATCTACGTACAATAAGTCTGGATATTCAAGGAAGCCAAGGAGTCCAACAAAGGAGATGTACATGACACATTTGTATATCACAGTAAACTATAGTTTGCATCAAGGGTCCTCAAATTAAGGCCCGGGGGCTGAATACAGCCCCCAAAGCAATTTACCTGGCTCTCGCTCAGGGTCAATCTAAGTCGGAAGTTACTTGAAAGCACACAACAATCCTATCTCATCAGCCAAAAGTAGGCCCACACTTCCCGTTGAAATACTAATAAGTTTATATTTGTTAAAATTGTTCTTCATTTTAATTATTTTATTTTTAAGTGTTTTTTGCACTACAAATAAGATATGTGCAGTATGCATAGGAATTCATTCTTTTTTTTTTTCCAAATTATAATCTGGCCCCCCAACAGTTTGAGGGACTGTGACTGGGCCTTCTGTTTAAAAAGTTTGAGGACCCCTGGTTTGCATGATAGATGATTCCTCAACAAAAAACATGCTGTGTCTTTTTAGTTTGATTCTCTCATATCTATTTCATTCTCTCCTGTATCAGGATGGACGACTAGAGAAATAAGCCAGGAACATATAGCTGCCAATTCAAGATATAACAACAAGTCATAATTAAAGCAAGCCAAAATTCACAAGCCAGTGACATGCCAAATAGTCATACCATGGGTTTTTTTTTATGAGGAATAACTGTGGTCACATTGTAAAATGAAAGAATATTTTATGATTTGCCATTCTAAGGGTTTTTTTTATTAGTTGCTCTGCAACTCATAAGCTTAGTAGTTAGGCTTATGCATCCTAGCTATTCAATAGGTTCATTCTATGTGATATCTCTCTCTCTTTTCCTCTCTTCTTCCTATAAAGTGTGGTAATAGTATATACTACTCTCAGGTGCTCATTAAAAAGGCAAACATTCTTGCTAGTCTTTCACTCTTGGAGGAGGGAGCAAGCGTGTTTTCTGCTGCACTGGAGATTGGACATGGAGCAATGGCTTCAAACTACAGGAAAGGAGATTCCACCTGAACATGAGGAAGAACTACATAACTGTCAAAGCTGTTCAGCAGTGGAACCCTCTGCCCCGGAGTGTGGTGGAGGCTCCTTCTTTGGAGGCTTTTAAACAGAGGCTGGATAATCATCTGTCGGGGGTGCTTTGAATACAATTTTCCTGCTTCTCGGAACGGGGTTGGACTGGATGGCACATGAGGTCTCTTCCAACTCTATGATTCTTTCTTTGATGCTTTATTGACTGATATCATCTCTCTGGATAACAGGGCTTTGCACGTGTGTGTAGAGAAGATTTTCGAACCTGTGTGCAGTGTCAGGCATGGGGGACTGGTGAGAAGAAGGGAAAGAAATGTGCAGATTGCCCTTTCAAGATCCGGCTTGTGGATGAGTTGGAACAAGGTACCATAGCTTACCACCCGTCCTCCTTCTAATAAAGTTCAAGTGTCAACCAAAGAGACCAGAAAACATGACAGTTTTTTTTAATACAAAAAGGGGGGTGGGATGAGGGGAGAGGGATTTTCATCATTGGAGGTAGATTACACTTCAACTGTCTTTGTTTTTACATCATTCTGGGGTGTGTGTTTTTTGTTAGTTAGTTTGTTGTTTTGGTTATCTGTAATGAGCAAATATGTATCTCCATGAATTCCAGACCGGAAATGTTAGAAGGAAAGAAATCTTCAGTCATGCTTCTAGAGGGCAATACAAGTCAAAATGTATACATAAGCTTTCTTAATTCTCAGGCCTGCAAATTAGAGGGCACAAACACATGGGTTGTTGTAGGTTTTTCGGGCTATATGTCCATGTTCTAGAAGTGCCAAAAACCTACAACAACCCAGTGATTCCAGCCCTGAAAGCCTTCGACAATACACAAACACATGTTTTAAATATGTAGTTTTATAGGAATTTTAAATAAAAAAGAACCTCAGTTTTGCTCCATTACATACATTTTTTTAAGAATTTGCTTTGATGTTGCAATATATGATTGACCAAAATTAGTAATACCATTTGTAGGGGAAAAATGTGTAGTGTATATTGTTTTGTCTTGTTTTTAAATTTAGAACTCCAAATACATTAAAAACTGCTACAATATTGGGAAAAGGTTTTTTAAATCACAGGCCTGTGTAACTAATTCATTATTTCCTCATCTACAGACTAGTATTCAGGCTTTGTTTCATTTCCACATAATTCTTTACCTCTTTCTCTTAAATATATAACTAGTGACAATTACTCCCAAAAACGTAATTCACTCTGATAAACTCTGGGCCCTTCCACACAGCCATATAACTCAGAATATCAAGGCAGATAATCCACAATATCTGATTTGAACTGGATTATCTGAGTCCACACTGCCACATATAATGTGATGTGGATTTTATAGAGCTGTGTGGAAAGAACCTGTGTTTTCACTGAAGATGGTCTCTCATTGATGATTCCAAGCACTAGCTTCCATATAGGTTTTCCATATAGGAAGGGGCCACTTTAAAGAGTAAGGAATAAGGGGGGGGGTGCCCCCATTCTCAGTTAATGCACCTTTGTTGGAGACAGAGTGCCACTATAGTATGTTTCTAAGCTATTATGCATTCTTCCTGGCTCTGGATGCATCAGCCTCTTGTTTCATGCTGCCTCATTGTGACTGTTTGACAAATCTTGTTGAGGGTCTATGCTTGAAACAGCCCTCAAGTATTACTTCAAAATAATGTTCTTTCTGGATAGATGAAATATGACCTCAAAATTTCCAGAATACATTGCTAAGTCTGCATCCCATTTATTTTTTCCACAGAGAAGGATATAAATGCAGTTTGCTCCTTCCAAGATGAAGAAGATGACTGCATTTACCGCTATGCCAAGATAGAGGATGCCAACCCAGAAAACAATGGCACTGTTTTTGTGCAAAGGAAGAAAGGTGAGCAGTGATTTTCCAGCAAAGGGGAGAGCTGACTGAATGACCTGAGGCAGAACTTAATATATAATTCCGTATAAACAGCTCTGTTCACTTTATCTCACATCATTTGCACGGAGACCCTCTGAGCAAGCCTGTAACCAAGAGGGGGTGTTAAGGTTTCAGCCCCCCCCCCCAAATTTTCTGTTGCCCTGGAGACTAGAACGTGAAACAATAGCTACAGGAAAGGAGATTCCACCTGAACATGAGGAAGAACTTCTTGACTGTCAGAGTTGGTCAGCAACCCTCTGCCCCGGAGTGTGATGGAGGCTCCTTCTTTGGAGGCTTTTAAGCAGAGGCTGGATGGCCATCTGTCTAGGGTGCTTTGAATGCAATTTTCCTGCTTCTAGGCAGGGGGTTGGACTGGATGGCCCACAAGGTCTCTTCCAACTCTATGATTCTATGATTCCTACTTCCCCCAGCTATCCTGATCAAAGTCATTGTTCCCCCCCCCCCCCGGTTATTTCAGAACTCAATGAGGGAGAAGCAACCCAATTAGCAGTGAGTAGGTGCATCATAGGTGCCTCACAGAAGACTTGTTGGGAAGGTTGTGCACCCCATTCTAATACCTGTAGTTCTGATTCTACCTTTTAAGCAGCTTATTTATATTTGCATCACTGTTCCCTCCAGTCTATCCTCCCTTTTCTGGCCATGTTCTGTTTGGTTTGTGATCCCCTGGAATTCACTGGTAAGGTTTTACATTTGCTTCATTACAGAGTGCCCACCAGGAAGCTTTCTCTGGCTTATCCCCTTGCTCATTTTGCTGATGCTTCTCCTGGGACTGCTGTTGTTACTATGTTGGAAGTTCTGTGCTTGTTGTAAGGTAAGCAGTTTCCAACTTGCAATCACAAAAGTAATCCTTGGGAAGTTACCTGGAGACATGGTTTGGGTGTAATTAGGGCTGGATAATTAGAGGATACTTGCATATTTATTCTTTCTACCACCTGGGAGTTTTCTCTGTTTGGTTTTCAGTGTAGTTGGATGTGAAAACTGCTATCTGAATAGGATCAGTACTGTCATGTCCCATCCAGTACTGACTTTGAAAAAGATGTAAATATCATATCCAACCTGCAGTACATATCTACATACTTCCAAACCTGAAACTGTGGGAGGTTTTACACTGTCATATAATGCAGTGTAAAGTCGCATCATCCCCTGGGCATCCATACAATGCACATACAATTATACAAATTAACTCAGTTTAAGGTGCTAGATGCAGCTGCACCCCAGGTCAAAGAAACACAGGGGGAAAGTCCATATCCTGCTCCAGGATTCACAATTTCCTCTGTTTTGGTGGAGAGGAGACTGCCATCCTGAATGGATCCCTATGTGGGATCCAGGATCATATCCCCACAGCTATCACACACATTCTCGTCTCAAGTAATCTGGGAAGGTGAGGTGACTGGCACTCCAGTTCTCTTCTCCCCAAAGACAGAAAAGTTTGAGCTCTGAGCTTTGCTTCCCAGTTCTTCTTCATATGACTGAGTGCTGTACCTTCGAAGAAGGGGGAGGTTACGCCTATCAAGCTACCTTGCTCACTCACATGGGGCAACCTTGTGTCGCTATAATGCAGCACCAAACTGGTATTTTCCATTATACATAGGCATTATGTGCCTATGTAGAATCACCCTTAGCCTGGTATGGAGAATATGGAAAAACGACCCGTAGCCCAAATCACTCACACTCAAAAAGTAACAGCCAGGTGCTATTATGCTATGTGAACTAGAAGTTGTAACTGAGAAACCAGGTTGTAGCTTTCCAGTTCATATATATCAGGAGCACCTGGCTATTATTGTTTGCGTAGCAACTGCTAGTGGACTGGGTCCATCCACATGTGCCAGCTGTCATGCTAAGCAACACCTAAAAAGTACAAGTGTTAAGTACATTTTGGCCTACACCTCTCACAAGCCCACAATGATGTCTGCGTAAGTGAAACTGATAGAAGTTTTTGGCCACAATGTGTGGGGCCCAAAGTAAGTAAGATGTGGAAGACTATTGAAAGACAGCCTCATCTGTGTGGCGCAAGCATTCTCATGGTCAATGTGATTGTTGGTCCAGGGTGGCCAATGCCACCATTTGATGGGGCAGCACATGCCATCTTTCTTTCATGGAGCTATTTAATGGCATCTGTTTGGACTATGCCTTCCCTCTGAAGTATGTGTTGCATTATCCACATGAGCTATTGCAGGAGCTGTTGGTCCATATGTTTGTTTTATCTAAACAGGTATTTTATCCAGATTTTCCTTCTTTTTTCCCATTTAGGCTTGCCTGGCTCTGCTCCCCTGTTGTGCACGAGGTACTATCTTTTGGCATTTTTATGGATTTGATGATTGGAGCTTCCAGTCTAGTGCTTTAGATGCACTATATTTATTTATTTATTTATTTATTTGCTTCATTTCTATCCCGCATTTTTCAGCCTGATAAGGCGACTCAATGCGGTTTACACAATGAAAATTATCACAATAACATCAGTACTATCACAACAATATCCTAAACAATTAAAACACATCATATACAGCAACAAAATCAAACCATCATTAACAATTCATAACACCTCAATATGAAATCAGATCCATTCTTGTAAACCTTGTGCCATTCCTGAGATCAAATTTTACCATCCTCCTATATTCAGTTGCACTGATTAGCCAAACGCTTGTTCATAGAGCCAGGTCTTAACCTTCTTCCGAAACGCCAGCAGCGAAGGGGCCTGTCTGATGTCTACAGGTAGGGCATTCCATCGTCGAGGGGCCACCACTGAGAAGGCCCTGTCTCTCGTCCCTGCCAACCGCGCCTGTGACGCAGGCGGGACCGAGAGCAGGGCCTCCCCGGACGATCTTAATGTCCTAGTCGGTTCATAGGTGGAGATGCGTTCGGAGAGGTAAGTAGGGCCAGAACCGTTTAGGGCTTTATAGGCTAACGCCAGCACCTTGAATTGTGCCCGGTAGCAAATTGGCAGCCAGTGGAGCTGGCTCAACAGAGGAGTGGTATGCTCCCTGAGTGCCGCTCCCGTTAGCAACCTGGCTGCCGAACGCTGGACCATCTGAAGCTTCCGGGAAGTCTTCAAGGGCAACCCCACGTAGAGCGCGTTGCAGTAATCTATGCGGGATGTAACCAGAGTGTGGACTACCGTGGCCAAGTCAGACTATAAGAATTTACAGCTAGGATTGTGAGGAATGCACACACTCACTTTCTGTTGGTCCTCTGCATTTGCCAGTTTAGTTTTGCAGATTTGATTATTTGAGGAATTGATTAAAATGTTCTCTCTAGGAATCTCTAAATCCCCCAGTGTGAGTCCAGGGTGAACTTCTGCCAAAAGCTGGCCACAGAGTCACGCTGAACAATATATAGATTTCTAGAGAGGCATTCTCTCAAGTAAAAACAAGAAAATCTGTTATGATGGCAGACTGAAGATGTTTCTTAGTTGTGTTAGTAATGTTGTATGATAAAATTGGCCAGCAGAGATAGTCCATAGAAACTTTATCATCCATCAATTTCTCTGAAGGGCAAGGACTCAGAAGGACTAAATGTATTATCTTCTATCAGGCCAATATTCTTGTAGAAATATGCACCGTTTGTTATTGTGTGCTTTCAAGCTGTTTCCAAGAATCTATCACAGGGTTTTCTTTGTTCACACTTGGTTTGCCTTTGCCTTCCTCTGAGGCTGAGAGGGTCATTCTGGGTAGTATGTATCTTTATGGCATTCATATTCTAAATAACATTTTCCAGAACATCAGATCTGCAGTTTGAGATCTGTATTGATATGTGCTATAAAGCTTACATCTAAGCCATGAAATGAAAGAGGGAAATGTGACATTCTTCACCTTTAGAAGCTAGAAGAAATTAGCAAAGGTTAAGCAGGAGCACAAAATAATAGGCCTGTTAGCATCAGTCTTGAGTTCCATTTACTAAATAGATTCCAACCAGGAAAATACTAAGAAGTTGTACCTAGGGGAAACAAAAACTTTTCCCAAGGGGAAGGGTTCATCTTTTTCCATTTTGACACGTAAAAGATTTAAAGCTAGAACCAAGTCCTCGGAGAGTACAGCCTAGCTCCAATTCCTTCTCTGCAGGTCGCACGGTTGGTTTCAAGGAGGATCACTATCTGCTCAGGCAGAGTCTCATGACTTCAGATCACCTGGATACCCCTATGGTGCGCAGTGGCAACATGAAAGGCAGAGACACTGTCCATTGGAAGATCAAAAACAACGTGCACAAGCAAGACTTCTCTCCCTTACCTCCCAATCCTGGGGATCTGAGTGAGTGATAGCTTTTTTTTGATGGGGAAAAAGTGCCAAAGAGAATGTTGCCTGTTTCTGAGGACAAAGCTGATGTTGGAAAGTGAATCCTCGTGGCTTTTTCGGTATCCAGTTCCAGATCCAGTTAAGATATTTAGATTCTGCCATGGTGCTTTTGTCTCATTTTGAGTAACTTTTATACCCCTTTCTTGCATTTCAAGTGGGAAACTTCTTGTTTAGCATCCTTTTTCATACCTAACATAGTTCACCTCTAACAAAATAAAACTCAGTGATAATCCAAAAGTCTTCTCTTATTGTTATAATGTTATGTCACTTGTTTTATACTTTTGTACCATTTTTACCAGTTGTTTATTATATGTGCACCCTGGAGTGCTTTGTAAGCCACCCCGAGTCCCTTCGGGGAGAGGGTGGCGAAATATAAATAAATAATAATAATAATAATAATAATTATTATTATTATTATTATTATTGGAGGAGATTTTGACAAAAGGGATCATTTAGGTAAGGGATAATCCCATATGCCTTTTGAGATGGTACAGTCATTCCTGACACCTGTATATAGTGGCATACTGTCATGGTGCCTTTTGTGACATATCTATTTTGCGAATACTATATATTAATTTTATATTAGTTTTATTACAATGGCTCCCACTTGCCCAAAAGCTTGGGATACATTGAGTGTAACTGATGATGTTCAAATGTTCAGAACCTGTCACTTCTTGATTCTAGCTAAATTGAAATAACATCACTATAACTATTTAACATAGCGCACTATCAATCAATCATCATCCATGCAGTTTGGTGCTGATATCACATTAACTTTAGTGATATTTAAGCAGACATTTTGAGGGATTTGAGATTTGCATCGCATAAGTAAACTAACGGTCAGTAGATATGCAGCACGATTCTTTCTTGTTGACAGCCCTAATCAATTTGTTCTCTTGATTCTAGTTCAATATGGCCTGTCCCTCAGATTGGCCCGACTCTTCACCCCAAACCTTGCAAAACCACATAGCCGTGAATGTGAGCAACTGCAGAAGGATGTGGAGGAAAATGTAAGGAAAAAAGTTTGCTTTTGGAAAATATAGGGAAGAACACTACACATGCACCTTATGTGTGGCTCTGTTGAACATAACAGGGGCCTTATAATGAAACACTAGTCTGAACACTACATGGAAGGGTGATGGTGGTGGGGTGGTCCTTATGAACTACTAAACTAACAACATGTTCTTTCTTTCTTCAGCTTAATGAGGTTTATCGAACTATCCCAGGTGCCCACAAATTCCAGCAGACAAAATTCAGGTGAGTGACTTTGAGTATATGATGCGGTGGGGGGGGGGGGGGGGGGGGGGGGGGGGGGGTTGTTGATGGCTAGCATGCCAAGAAATTGTGACATTTCAGCAAAACGAATGAATACAAGTGAGTGAAGAGATCAAAAACAAGGTGGAATTGAATCTTGGAGCAGCCTTGCATTAAGAGAACTGCATCTTCTTGCACTTGACAAGGAAAGTCAGTTACATGGAAGAATGCATTAAGTAGCAGGATTAGAGCTCTCATCCCTACCTACTCTCATATCAGGATTTGGGAAACTAGGTGTCTCTTCAAAGGTTGTTGGACAGCATATGCCATTATCCCTCAGCACTGGATATGCTGGGGTGGAGCTGAGAAGAATTTGAGTTCACCAATAGCTAAAGGACCATCGTTTTCCAGTGCTCCACTACTGAGACATACTCAAAGTCATAGCTAAGCCATTTGTCATTCCTCCAATTGTCATTAAAATTCTTCATTGCATCTTATTTCTTTACAGGCTACAGCCAAATGCTGGGAAAAGGTAAGCAAAAACATTAATGCCTGAGTCTGCTCTCGGGTGAGGATGTATTGGTACTTTCCAATTTATGCTTATTCAGTGAGAGATTTCATTTGCTATTCAAACACATCCTTTTACAACATTACCACAAAGTTCTTACTGCTGCCTAAATCTTTGCATCCATTTTTCTCGATGAATACTGGGAGGTACAGATAGACAATTCCTTCTGTGAGGGCAACATATTCCTTCCTGTGTCTTCCTGTGACAATATGCAGCTGAGAAAGACAACTGGGGGAACATTTGTTTTAGGACCATGTTGTCCCTTCAGCTGTTGTTTTAGACCAGTGTTTGGAATTTCAACTCCCAGAAGCCCCAGCAAGCTTTTCCAATGGTTAAGAATTGTGGGAGCTGAAGGCCAAAACACCTGGAGGGCTGCAAATTGTGCAGGCCTGTTTTAGACCCATGTCCCTTCATAGTTACAATGGCACACTACAAATGTTTTTTGCAGAAGTATGGGACAATCTTGCATTAGTTCTCTTGCTGCAGAAAGTAGGAAGACGCTTATGCATTGGAACTACAGTATGGTCCCTCTATCTAAGGGAGATGTGTTCTCAGCCTTTATGAAGACATAACAGCAAACCCTATTGAAATGAAGACTTTCTAGTCTCAGATACCATAGAATAGTGCATCTAAAGATGTATAGATTAGAGTGATCATATTGTGTCAGAAGTGGATAAATGAAACCATGGGTACTGATCAAGTGGATACTGTACTTACAAACCAATGGTTGAAAATGTGATGCATTTGAAAACAAGGCACACATGAGACATGGATGTGCCTTGCTTATAGCCTGCTCCTGGGTTAGTAATCCTCTTCAGTCTGTGGGCGGCGTTGCCTCTTGGCTCATCTTCCAAGGGGACACATGAAGTACTTAGGAGAGAAAACACACTCTTTCTTTTCCCCTTTCTTTTCTCCAGACAAGACCATACAATTGTGGACACTGTGCTCCCTGCTCCCCGCTCAGCTAAGAATGAAATTGTGAAAGTGACAGAAAAGCACATTGCACAAGAGGCTTTCAATGATCTGAAAGTGGCTCCTGGTTATTATACTGTCATTGCTGATCAAGGTAGGTGTTGCACTTTGCTTTGTTCTCATTGTGGAAATAAGCTACAGCAGTGCTTATGTTAAGCTTCTCATTGTGGGAGGCAGCTGATGAAGGCATTCTGATGTGAAATGTTTTCTCATTCAGTATATGATCGGTCCTTCATGAAAGTGGAAAACTCTGATCTTAAAAAGCCACTTTTTAAACCCGAGATAATATTTTTACAGGAATCTCTATGTCTTCCAGTGTGACTTCTGCCAGAAATGGACCATAAATTTCTATTTGAGAACCTAGAACGACCATATTAATCACATCTGTGAATAATCAAATCCACAAAAGTTACGCTCACAAATCTGGAGGAAGTATTTCTTCTTCTAATGTGTCAGGGAGATAACCGTTTTGAATTGCCTTTCCTTGGACAAATAGTTTTAGAAAAGTACACCCTATTTTTTTTTATTTAGGAGCACTAACAGCCAGAGCAGATTATATGCTTAGCATATTTTTTTAGAACAGATGCTCCCTCAAGAGGTGAAAGTACATCCATTTGTCATAGCCTCAAAGATAAAGCTAGTCCAGCCTGGTGTTGCTCGATGGCCGCATTTCTCATTTTTGCTCTTGGACAGCTCGCCCTTAAGCTTGTCACTATACAACAGGTGATGCTCTTCATTTTTGTGTCACATGTTTAACATACTTTGTTTCACGTTTGGTCGTTGGAAGGTAAGTGTGAGTGTAATTTTTAAATCAGATTTGACTAATATAGGAAAGAAAATGGATTAATTTAAGAGAATATCCATTTCCTTTAATGCCTGGTTAGCCCCTCAGTCATATGATACTTTTCCTGCATTCTGAAAGAATAAAGCCTAAACAGAGAAAGGTTTACCACTTCATTACTGACCAGACTTTGAGTAAAAGTTGAGAGTTTTATAAAAAAAAAACCTCTTATGGCTCTAAAGTTACTTTATCTTTCTTCCCTTTTTTGCTGTGCTCCCATCCAGATGCCAATGGCCTGGTAGAGTTTCAGGAAGGAGTGGAGCTTGTGGATGTGCGGGTTCCTCTCTTCATCAGGGAAGACGATGATGATGAAAAGCAGCTGCAAGTGGAGGCCACAGATGTGCCAGTGGGAACTGCAGAGCTCCGACGTCGGCTGGTGAACATCACCATAATAAAAGAACAAGGTAAATATGTGAGCAGCATAATGGTACACAGAGATTATCAATACCTTCTATCCTCTGCTCTTTCTCCCAATACCAATGCATTAATCTTGGACAGTTTTCCCAAGGAATGTTCTTGTTGCTGTAACAGACTCAATGAACACCCCTTTTAAACCAGATGTCTCCTGTGAAGTAGGTGTGGGAAACTGCAGGAGTGAGGCCCAATTTTCACCACTGTGCCCACTTAACAGAGTACCAGCTCACCAAGGCCCCAAGCCTTCTGAACTAAAATAAGATTCTGCACGATTCCTCCCCACCCAAAAAAACCTAAATACTACTGCTCACTCAAGACACTCACCTTGAAAACCCCACAGGAGCCCCAGCTGTAATAAACTGAAAAATTTCCAAATCAGAAACAGGAAGCAAGCTGTGTTACTTCAAGTCTAAATTGATCTTTCAGGTGAATTTTTTTTGGGGGGGGGGGGGAGATTTCAAGGTATGTTGGGGCAAAACCACTGCTTTTTGTTACAGTATCTAGCTCTTAGGGTTGGACTCCCTCAGAAAAATATCTAAAACAAATTAGGCAATTGATGGCTTTGTGAGGGAAATCTTCTTAGGCTGTACCTTCCTCACATTTGCTGTGAAGCAATATACATAGAGAGACATCCCTAACGTGTTGCATTCACTCCAAATGAGCACAATGCCTCTTGTGGTTTTGAATTTTATATTACAATTACAATATATTATATATATTGTGGTTTTGAATTTTATACCTACAATCAGGTAGATTATTTCAAGTGGATTGAATCTAATTGCAGACTGATTTTGTACAAATTAGCTATAGTGTTAGGTCACAACAATGTGGTAATGATCTGAAGAGGAAGTTGAGTTTGAAAGGGACTATAATGGTACCCAAAATAGAAAGATATTATATACATGTTCTCAAAGCATACTGATTTCTGCTTTAGTGAAATTTGCTCTTAATGGGACTTTGGGCTTGCCATGTGAGGTACTATTCAAGTACTTGATGCATCCTAGCATATGCCAATAGCAAAGGCACTTAGAAATGTCTGTTACTTTGTCTACTTTCTCTTAATCTCCGTGTTACTAATGTGATGTATATTTCTTCATTCACTGTCTCTGTAGGGCTGTCTACACTATTAATCTGTCTTAGATCTGGTTAGTAACAAAAAGTTAAACCAGTTAGGGTAATTCTAAATGCGGTTTTGTCCTACTGCAACAAAAATTGGTTGCAACAGATCAATATTTTGTGCTAGCATATGTAGCTAGATAACAGTAGGAATGATGACAACTCTGCCTCTCTTTAGCCAACAGCATCATCAGCTTCCTGCAGCCAGAATATACCTACAGTCGTTTTGACAAGGTGGCTAAGATTCCTGTTCTTCGTGAGATATTGGACAATGGGAAGTCTCAGATAACATACAGGACACGAGATCTCACTGCCCAGGATGGCAAAGTAAGGACTGTGAAACTCTCATAGGGACTATTGTTGTTATTGTTATTATTCTATAACAGTGTTGAAACTTGCCTCGAGTCAAAGGGAGAGGCAGGCAAGAAATAATAATAATTATTATTCATTGGTATTCTCCTCCCCCTAAATGCATATAAACACATCAGTAAGAATAAATAAAAGTTATGTTAAAGTAATCTATATAATTAAAATCATTTAAAATTCATTAAAACTCAAGATAAAAAACTAGCAGGACAGCACACACTTGAAAGTCCATTTCAGTCAATTCCTGGAAGCTCTCTTGAATGTAAGAGTTTCATTTGATAGTGGACAGGAAGCCATCCAAGAGAAGGAGTTCCAGATGGGAACAGCTACTTAGACAGAGTAGAAAGCTTTGTTAACAGTGAGTACACGTAGGTCTTTGGTCATTATTTGTTATTATGTGCCTTCAAATCATTTCTGACTTATAATGACCTTAAGGCAAACCTGTCATGGATTATCTGGGGCTGGGAGTGTGTTGCTTGTCCAAGGCCACCCAGCTGGTTTCCATGGCCGAATGGAGAATCAAAGCCTGGTCTCTAGAGCTGTAGTCCCTTCAGGGAGAAGAGGTGGGATATAAATAAAGCTTCTTCTTCTCATCATCATCATCATCATCATCATCATCATCATCATCATCATCTGGTGCTCAGACCAATATACCACAAAAATATCCAGTGTATAAAGGCAAATTTGGATTCCTTCTAGAAAGTATCATTTGGAAATGAACCTGCAATTTGAGAAACCTGAGTGGTAAAAGTTCTCAAAACACTTGGAATAAATAAATCTTCAGGAACAGAGAACATACCAATTGGAGATGTTGAAAATATTTTCATTGTATCATTCCCTTTCCCTTCTACCCCTTCCCCTAGGATTACAATTTTGCAGAAGGTGACTTAGTTTTTCTGCCTGGGGAGAAGCGGAAGGAAGTGCAGGTGAAATTGTTGGAGCTGACAGAGATCGATGCTCTTCTTCACAATCGGCAGCTGAAACAGTTTGTGGTGGATCTAATCAACCCCAGGTTTGGTGCAAAGGTTGGCAAATACCCACAGACGATGGTGACAATCGCTGATCCAGGTGAGCTTTATCTGTTTCTGATGACAAACATCATTTTGATCCCTCAGTATGTGCCATGGTACCTCAAGTTTCAGCTTCAATAGACAATAGATTTCATTGGACAAACATGGCTACCAAATTTTGTTCTGGTTAAAATAGGAAAGTTGATATACTTTGAACTTCCCTCTAGATTTAGTCCCTGATCTACTAATCCAGTGTACTAAAAAGAGAAACAGAATGTTTGCTTCAAGCACAACCTCTTCATTTTCCCGGGAGCTTCAGTTGGGTTTGCTGTCTCTTGCCGGCACCATGACATTTTTATTTTCCCAGTTTGTAGCAGTGTGTAGACATAATGAGGCTTTCTCTTTGACAGTATACATTTGATGTTTCATCCTTTGCTGGGATAGGTATCATAAATAGATTTTGTCATTGTTATTACATTGCAAGATTTGGGGATGAGTGAGAGGATGAGGAAGTGACAGAATCCTCAAATAGGCTATATTTGTCCTTGCAACTGATAAAGTGGATTCTAGTCCATAAGACTTTACCTCATAATACATTTGCTAGTTCCTATGTTGCCACAGCACTCATTGTTTATCACATATGCCTGTTATAAATAAGAATATTATTATAAAATTATAAATTATTTCATACTGGATTTTATAAGCATTTTCATTTTATGTTCATTAATAATGACATATACTATTCTATTGCTTTACACATACTATCCTATTACTTAAAAATAAGTCATTATTACTTTTAATATTCTCCAAAATCATTATATTGCACATTATCCTGTATTTTGATACTTCTAGAATCCAGAACCCTGTCTCTCTTCTCTAATTCTTATAAGGTTGTGAGTTTCACTATAAATAGCTGTTTCCAAACTCTTTGTTGTTGTTTTAAGCCATACTTATATGTATTTAAAAGAAATTGAAATCTTTTTAAAGCAACCGTTCAGATAAAAATATTATGTCAGAAACATCCCCAAAGTGTGTCCCAAAATATTTCTGGACTGCAACTCCCAGAAGACCCACCCAATGTAGCCAGTGGTCAGAATTTCTGTGTGGGCATTGTAGTCCAAAACTGTCCTGGGACGTGCCAATTTGGGACTTCCTGTCCTACTTAGATGCATCTTTCTTAAACAAAGATACTGTTTTTGTGAAAAACAAGCCTTCCTGAAACACTAAACACCATATAAGCAAGAGAAAATAATTTGCCTTCTTCTTCATCTACTTACAGAAGCTATAGGTGAAGTGCCACCAGCAGTAAGTACACGTCAAGTTCAGCAGTCTCCCAAAGGCTTGCTTGGAGCCCCACTTAATCCAAATGCACAAGCATTAAGCTCTAGGAAGATCCGCTTCAACTGGTTACCTCCACCTGGCAAACCTGCAGGATACAAGGTATGGAAAATCAAGCCATGGGGACTGGCAAGCTTATAGTTTACAAATGGGGAAATGCAGTCATGGTTGATCTGTGGTCAGGACCAAGGTACTTATCATATAACATTGTTATAGCACTATACTCCCTTTTAACTACCATGGTAACATTTTGTGGAATTCTGGGGTTTGTAGTTTCATTTAGTGAAGCCAAAAGCTCTACAAAGTGGAAGAAAACAGACTCAGCTGCAGTGTGTAAACACTGGTGCAGCAATCTGGACAAGGAGTGGCTCTTCAGAAATGTATGAGCATGTGGAGAGACTGAATAAAACTATGGATAAAGCTTGTGTTTTAAACTGAAAAATGTACCTTAATGCAGGAGGGCTTCAAATCATATCGGAATTGATGTTTTTGGTGATTTAAGGAGGGTCTTCTCCTTGAGTTATAGGTGAAATACTGGATCCAAGGGGACCCAGAATCGGAGGCCCACCTGCTTGATTCCAAAGTGCCATCTGCAGAGTTGACCAACCTGTACCCTTACTGTGATTATGAGATGCGGTCTTGTGCCTACAATGCCCTGGGCGAGGGACTTTACTCTGAAGTGGTCCACTGCCGCACACTCGAGGAAGGTATGTTAGCCCATTCCAGCATGATAACCAAGAAGAAAATCTGAGTAGCAGCACCAACATCTGCAGGAACAAGATAGCTATGGAAGAAGACCCCCAAGCCCCCCCCCCCCCCAGCTACATGCCTGCAGAGGGCCATCCAGCCTCTGTTTAAAAGCTTCTGAGGAAGGAGCTTCCAGCACACTCCAAAGCAGAGAGTTCCACTGCTGAATAGCTGTTACAATCAGAAAGTTCTTCCAAATGTTCAAGTAGAATCTCCTTTCCTATCATTTGAACCCATTGCTCCTAGTTTCCAGGGCAGTAGAAAACAAGCCTTGCTCCCTCTTCGTTATGATATCCTTTCAGATACTTAAACATGGCAAACCCCTCTTAACCTTCTCTTCCACCTCTTTAAGCCACTGGCTGCGAGCTTGCACTGAGATGTTACCAACCTGCATCCAGTTCGTTCCCTATCCCCACGGCTTCCACTGCATTTGCTGTACTCAGAGCAGTTGTTTCTGATGAATAATTATTTTGTTTTCTTCCTTTTGTAGTTCCTAGTGAGCCTGGGCGTTTGGCTTTCAATGTAATCTCTTCCACGGTGACACAGCTGAGCTGGGCTGAGCCTGCTGAGCCTAATGGGGTGATCACAGCCTATGAAGTTGGCTATGGGCTTGTCAATGAGGGAAACCGTAAGTTAGTTTCTGTCTCTCTGAAAGCTATGGTTTTGATGAGCCAGTTACCTTGGGTTGGTTTATTCAGGAATTTAATTCACAATGCATGTTCAAAAAGGAATGGTTGTGGCTGTCATTCTTGGATATTCAAGCAGGATCAAAGTAGAGGGAAGGAGGGGAAAAGAAGTTTTCAGAAGAACGTAATGCTGATATTTCCTGATTCAAGTCAATATCAACTTATGGTTGCCTATGAATGAGAACAGCCTCTGTAATATAGGGTTTGATTGTTCAGCAACAACTCTGAAGACTAGGATTTTAGAAACTCACTGGATTTCTATGGGCAAGTCATACCATTTCATTCACTATTAGCTTGTCTACTGTCAACAAGGCAATGAAATTTGACCTAGGAAAGGATGAGATTCCACTCTAGTCAACCCTAATATAGCAGTATCTGGCGCTCAGATACATTTCAGGACTAGAAAAACTGAATCCAATTTTACATTATTATTTCAGTAGAATGGCGAGGTCTTGAATACTTGCATTCAAGCCAAACACACACACATTAATGAACTCCCTTATTTGAATTGTTACTTAAAACTTTGTATTAATAGGTTCACCATGAACTGCATTATTGTTGAGATGGTACTTTGAAGTTATCCTGTCTTTAGCTTCCATCATACAAAATCTGGTTAGTATAGAAAGCAATAAAAACAGTTGCCAAGAGGTGTAAAATATTTCAGTATGTAACTTTTTTTTTTGAAGGACCTATTGGGCCAGTAAAGAAAGTCATGGTGGAAGACTACAAGAAGCGGATGGTTCTGATTGAAAACTTAAGGGAATCTCAGCCCTATCGCTATACAGTGAAGGCTAAGAATGGAGCTGGATGGGGGCCTGAAAGAGAAGCGACTATGAACTTGGCCACACAACCTAAGCGCCCTATTTCCAGTGAGTTATTATAATAGCTATATAGTTAAGATTTTGCGGTGCAGAAATGTTGTATTTTATCTGAAATGTTGCTCCTTTATTCAGAATACTCAAGGTGTGTCTGTTGTGGCACATTCTGCGAATATAGTGTACCAAATATACCAATAGAAAACATATTCTGGTATGAAGTTATGCTGTTGTTGTTGTCACATTTATTTATACCTTGCTTTATCTCCCCCTAAAGGCACTCTAAGCAGCTTAACATAAAAGTATTAGCATAACCATTTAAAATATACAAATATACAAACATTAAAACAGGATTAAATATAAACAGTATTTAAAAATTCCCAGTTATGTCACAAATGTCACAAATACTGACAATAGCCTACTAGCTTATTTATATTGCTAGTAAAATGCATAAAGCTGTTGGTCAAATTATTGTTGTTGATGCCCTTGCTATTATTATTATTATTATTATCTTTATTTTCTTTAAAAAATTTCCTTAGCTGGGCTATCCCAATATGAAACTCTAATTCTGGTGTTTTCTCCACACGTTCTGTTTTAAAAATGGATCTGCACAACTGGCTATTTTCCCCACTGTCTCACTTAAACTATTTCCTATTTAAAATAGAATGCCATGCTTGAAACATTGGAGAAAACAGGTGATATGTCACATTTAGGAGAAAGAGTAGTTGTGCTCATTCAGTATGTATCTATAAATTGGCCTTAATAATGTTTTCTACCTTCTTGCAGTTCCCATCATACCTGATGTGCCCATAATCGATGCTGAAGGTGGAGAAGAGTATGACAGCTACCTCATGTACAGTGCAGATGTCATGCGCTCACCTAGTGGTAGCAAACACCCCAGTGTCTCGGATGATTCTGGTACAGTTTGCATTGCAGCAATTTGGGGCAAAATGGTGGTGGTTTTCTTTTTAAAATGTTTTTCCTCAAAGGCTTAGAGAATGAAGAACACTGGGAAGAAATCCACTTCAAAGTTAATATAAAACTGTTTGGATTTATTAAAAAATACATTTTGTCCCTTTATTTTAAGGGAAGCACACCTCAAACACCTCAAATCTCTGCTTGTGTTTGGGAATGTATGATCCAGTAGGATTCTCCCCATGTTCTTCAGAATTATAAAAAGAAACTTTCCTTTGAATATAATATTCAGTGAATTTTGTTTATCCTGGTTACTGTCAAAATATCTGGTAGCCACATTGTATGAAGATTTTGTGTTTCATTGCATCCAGTGGATAAAATTTCAGGAGTAGATACTCAATGTTAATGTGTTTGTGATCCTGTAAGCTCTTTCCATAGCTGTACTTAAACGTGACAAAAAGTGTTGGTCATGGAACTCCTCTCATCTGGATCAAAAAGAAATCTTCTGTCACAGCCATGAGACAGTTCACAACATCACCTTAACCAATTAGAAAACTTAAACTTAAATAGATTACCCTGATTCCAACCACAGTGTTAGCATTATTTATTTATTTAAAACATTTATATTCCACCCTTCTCACCCCGAAGGGGTCTCAGGGCAGAGTACAACATACAAATGGCAAACATTCAATGCCGGGACATGAATTCATTATATGCATACATAAGCATTAAAAACATTTGAACATAATTTATTTTGTTCTGATACTGCATTTTCTTGGTGACCTCTGCTTTCATAATGTAAGAATCACATTATTTGTTTGTTTGTTTGTTTGTTTACAATATTTCTATCCTGCCTTTCTCAAACCCGAAGGTGACTCAAGGCAGCTTACAACCAGGCAGCCATTCGATGCCTTAACAATCTCTTCACGACACTGTAGACTTAGAGAAACCATCCAGTTAGCTTTCTATCAGTCTATCAAACTCTCTTTTAAACCATTTGAAGAGGTTGTTCCTTCCTGAAATGATCTGGGCACTGTGTGTTTTCTCCCAAGCATTGTCTTTGTTTTCCCAGAGTAGTTGTACCAGAATAGCAGTTCTTTTCCTTTGCTATATTTCAGAGCAAAAACCATCTATGAGTATTCCTTGCCTAAGAAAACCTTGCAAAATTAATGGATCTGCCTTGAAGGCACTTACACTCATCTTTCTCCAAATGGGGAATCCAAGGCAGTTTACAACAGATTTTGGAGTTGTCTTGTATATAATAGTTTTATCCAATTATCCGTTGTTTTGCTTGTCCATATACTTGAACTGGCAATTCCAGCTGCTGCACAAGATTAGTAGTCGTCTGGCATTGTCTTTAGGTTAAGTCAAATGTGGGCTGCAAGAAAACCCATAAAAATTATTGAGAGTCCCTCAGGGGCCTTCCAGCCTACTCCCTCCTCCTATTTTACTGCATCCCATACTGTCCTTGGAGTGTGTAGGAGGCAATTTCACCATGTTTTATGCCCTTCAGTTGTTTTAAGCATCAAAAAGATCTTTCCTTACCCAGAATGTAAAATAGAAACTAACGATTCAAGTTCATCTTATAGTTACATTGAGTTGACCTATTTGAACTAGAGGTTCCGTTTATAGTAAACACGCATGATGTAGTATTGTCTTCTTACCTGGAGCTGCATGCATAAATTGAGAACTGATGGCAGGGGGTAGTTCAAAAATACACTTCAAACCAGGAAGGTATTTGTGCATATATCTTTTTTGAAGTTGAGAAACTATGAGGGTCCCATGATAAAGTCCCAAACATGTGGTGTTGACTTGCTTTGCTTTCTTTAATCCAGTATTTGAACTGTGTCGTTGAGAAGGAGGCCACCCCTTGTCTTTTGCAACTGCTTTCTGCTTTGCTACAGTGCTATGGGGGAAAGTCATAACTTGACTAAAATTGGTGAGAGCCAGTGGGTTTTACACATTTCATTAACCCACCCGACTTCCCCATGCTTAATCAACTCTTGTAATTTCTGGTTGTAATTTGAGTACCAATTCAGTATGCATAGTAGATGAGCCACACCAGGTGACATTCACAGAAACAGAAAGTGCTACTGAAGAGTGTTTTGCGCAATTCCAGAAGTCCCTGCCAGGAAGTGACTAAAAGAAAGAGCTGCAGGTGGCTTGCAGGTGGTAGGCTGCCTCTTTTGCATGCCTCCTTATCGCCTCCTCCTCAGCCTTCCAGTTGTGCCCACGCCAGTACTTCACTTGTTCCAAAAGGCTCTAGGTGGAAATATGTGCAGCTGCTGGGGGATGAGCTGGACCTTCGTCGTGTCGCCTGGAGGCTCCCAGCAGAACTGATCCCTCGTTACTCGGACAGCAGCTGCTTTTCTTCAGACACAGAGGGGCTCCTTCAGGAGGATAACACTCCCTCTGTGCTAGTCGGCAGTGGAGCACCCATCAGCAGTTTGCCAAGAAGTGGGACTCCCCGGCCCCAACCAGGTGAAGGACGACTGCCTTCCTCTCTTCCTATAATGGTCCTGCCTCATCTGCCTCCAAGGGGCTGGACCCAGATTTTGGCCTCTCCATCCCTGTCACAAGCACATGCTCATCATGGTATTGGTTTCTGTGTCGGTATTGATGTGATGAAATCAGCTATCTGTAATAGAGTTCTGCTTGCAATATTCTGTTGCACTCTGTGTACACATTGCTCATTGCCAATGTAGTCATCAGCTATTTAATAAGAATCTGCTAAATGTCTATATCTACAAGAGTCATGGGTCCATTAGGGAATAGTAGTGTTGTACTCCACCCACCCTTCTACAGATGTCAGTGGAGACAGCTTTAGCAATGATAGTGAGCAAATTTGCTTCACCCGTCAGTTGGGAGATCACATTGGGAAGAATTTCTGCAGAGCAACCAAGTCATGGAAGAAAGACAACAATTACCAGTTCTGTGCAAAAGTGTCATTTTATTGCTGGATAACCTTCTGTTTAACTTGAATCAATGTTAATGAGAATGGGACTGACATCTGTGTTTTGGACGGAGTAACTTGGTACCCAGAATGGGAAGTGCTATGAGGATATTTCAGAGATCAATTTCTTGAAAACTTAGCATTGGTTTTTAGAACAAATAGAGTTCCATCTATGGGATGTTCGATTGTATAATCAATTGGTCACTCTTAATTTTCTAGTGTTTTTTTTAGCTATTCGGAACAGTCCAGCAGTCATTCTGTTAGCTTTATGTTTCTTCTTCTAGTACTTTGTTGTTTCCAACAGTGGTTAGTTTAATACCTGTAGGAACCCTCAAAAGTAAGGGTAGAAAGGAAAGCAACTATCCCCACTTCTTTATACATAAGTATCCATTATCAGAATATAATGATTCCATTTATTATAGCTAATACCTGTTGGTCAATTTGTTTCATGAAACAGATTTGCCAATGAAAGCCATAACTAACTGATTATGATTGTGTCTCACTCTTCTCCAAAGGCCTGGAAGCAAGGGCTTTTGTGAATAGTTTTTTAAAAAGTGGATTTGATTGTGTTAAGTTGTTCCCCCATACAATCACCGCAGTAGTGAAACATACAAAGATCTCTTCTTACCTTTAAGTATCTTTAACATCGGTTGTAATTGTCTTCTGGATCCATTCAGTTGCTGAAGTATTGGTACTAGCTGGTACACTGAGGATTCAAATAGTGCGATGCTATAAGTGCTTCTTTTTTTCTTTCTGTAAGGCTAACTATAAATTAACATATTCATCTCCAACTTACAGCTAAAGAGACAAATAAAACCTACTGGGAATATTGCAAGACATAAATTCAGATCTGTTTAATTAACCTGGCACATTACCCACAGATACTGATCAAATGGGATCTTCTTTTTTTTCCTTTTCCAGAACACATGTTGAATGGTCGAATGGATTTCAATTACCCTGGAAGTATTGGAAGCCTGACCCGGAACACGACTTCCAGCTACAACCATCTAAGTCCACACATGCACCATGAGAGAAGGGTCATAGAAAACTCATCTCTGACAAGGGAGTACACCTCAATGGTGTCTGGGCAAGGTAAGTGTTGAGGTGAATCTCGCCCTATAACCAAAGCAATAATAATGTTCCCTCCAATCCTACATCAAAAATATAGCTGGCCCTCCACACTTACGAGTTTGAATTTTGGAGATTTGATTAATATGAATCTCTAGATTCTCCATGTTGACTCTGTGGACAACTTCTGCCAGAAAGTGCCCTGGAGGACCTAGAGGTTCCTAGGGAGGACACTTCTTTAAGAAGTTGCCAGAAGTTGACTGTAGAATTTCCCTGGAGAGATCTTCTTGAGGACAAAAAATGAGTTTTTTATTCAAAGTTTTCCCACTTTTGCTGGGGCTCTGCTTCCACAGTCCCAACAAAAGACAGGTACATTAGTATATATTTTTAAGAAACTCCTGTTAGTTAACATGAAACAAATATACACCAGTTCCAAATACTGTTTTTTCTCTTTCTTCCCCAACCACATCCATGTTGCCCATATGTGGCATTTTGGGGACTCTCCTATGGTTCTTGGCCTAATGAGAAAGAGCTAAAACTGACATGTTCCCAAACTCTTCTGTTTCCATTAGCTGGTGGGGCTGGCATTGATTCCTTTTCCTTGTCTATGTGGTTACCTTCTGCTTTTAAATACCCAAATGTCGATATAGCATTTGGGTAGAGAATGTACTCCCTCCCCTACTCCTTAGACCTTTCCTTCTGATGCTATGAGGACTAAGAGGTGTGGTGTCTTCAGTGGTGACGCGTTCTTTCTCTTTGTTTTGCCTTATCCTATAGACCAGTCCAGAAGGATATTTCCTCCCATGCATGAGGATGCTGGTAGGATAGTTCCAATGCCACAGGATGTGGTCTTCAGGAGGGCAAGGGTGAAGGGTTACAATGATGACACTGATGCTCGGGAATCTATAGTCATAACTGATGGGCCCTCTTGGATTTCCAGCTACCTAGGTATCGCAAATGGCCTAGCATGGCTAATTGCCTGAATTACAGGGACTCGTCCCATAACCATCTAATGTACTCACACATGGTCATTCACATGCATGGATCCACTAATCCTTCCTGCACCTTCACTAAAGTTCATTTCCAGACTACATCATTTCAATGACTACACAGTGACTTAATGCTCTGACTTCATGCAATCTTCTCAGTCCTTAACCCTCACTCTTAAATAGTCAATTGTTATCCCAATGCATTAACCTTGTCTATATGTCTGACTCCAAAGTTCTTTTATGGAGAAGTGGCAGGGAGAACAATGCAAATGGTCTCTCTTGGAATAATTTTGCATAAGTCAAGAAAACAGCTGGGGATCCCACATTGCTCTTAGCTTTTTGTTGGTGGTTTTCAAAAGCCATGGGCATTTCCTAATTTTCACAATTTCCCCGTTGCTTTTGAAACTGCCCTCTTCATTCAGTACAAGCACCTTCTACACATCAGAAGTTAGGGTCCTCTTCTGCTTTTGCCAGGAAAAGGTTCTTTCTTGCCTCCCTGTTGAACAACGCTATCCCATATATTTGAAGGTGGAATATAACACCAGTTCCAACTACAGAGAAAGCAAGGTGTTTTTGGAACTTTTTCATTCATAGTCCAATTCAGATAACAAATACCAATCTCACCTTCCTCTTTCCCAGTCTTGGCCAAGAAGCAGAAATATGGGTGACACTCCACAGCTGTTTTAATCCTCATTGCCACTTCCCTATGGGGCAAGTGTGGCCATTCCTTTCAGTGGTGGCCTGCCCAGTCCCCACCTTCATTCTACATGGAGAAAATGGCTGCTGGCTGAATGGTGACTCAACCCAATCAGCATCTGCCATCTTGAACTCCACATTAACTAGATGGGGCATCTGGATTATTATTATTATTATTATTATTATTATTATTATTATTATTATTATTTGGGGTTCTTTTACCCCGCCCTTCCCACCCCGAAGGGGACTCAGGGCGGCTTACAAAAGCAAAGGCACAATTTGATGCCTGCATCATAAAACAATCATACACAAAATTACATCAATTCACAGTTAACAACAATTCATGCATTATAACCATAAAATCAATAAAATCAATAAAAACCAAATACAAACCCAATTTCTCCTCTTACATGGTCAGCGTTCGTTAACACATAGATCTAGTTTTACGATTGGAAACTAAAGGCCATCAAGATATCCTGAGGAAGCAGAGTGTCCCAAAGTGAGAACGTCACCTGAAAGCTACTGATAGCTACTTGGCTAGATTTCTCAATACTTTTCCCTGTAGTTCTTTGATTACTATAGATCAGGGAGATAGGGATGCCTGTGGTGAAGTGGCTGTGGTTCCTCCATGTCCAAATCTTTGGATTGCCCACACTGATCGCATCACCATTTTCTTTCTCTATGCAGGCATGTCAGAGCAAGGCACACAGTCCAGGGTGCATTATGCCATTCCCCAGAAGGCCAGGGGCCGCACTCACTCCGAAGATGTCCGTGAAGCACTGAGCAACCTGGAGACAGTGCTTCAGGGTGAGTGAGCGCCGCCTAGCCTCTGCATGGGACCTCACTGAGCCCTGAAGAAAGGGGCAGCAGAAAGAGGAGCTTGCTTGTTGAAATCACATCTCCTTTTCTTTTTTCTGCTGAAATAAATTAATGGCAACTATGAGAACCTTATCACACAATGCAAGTGTAATTGCAGCAGGATAACAGCAGGACTTTTTACATGGAAGTATTCCATTTTTGTTGTTTTCCTGGTGGGAGACTGTTGTAAGGCATTTCTTTTACAAAAGGTTTTTGTGTGTTTGTAAAAACAAACACTATCCAGGTTGTCTCCCACCAGGAGAGCTGTGAAAGGGGACAAAGTACGTGATAAGTCTCAGCTGTAATTGCACTTTGCCTGTATTGTGTGATAAACTCTTAAAACTACATAGTCTTCAAGCTGCATCTCTGTAATTTGAAATGTATGGTTGAGGTGCTGTTTTCAATTCATGCGCCATTGAGTTTAGCATACTCCTCAGCCCAGCTCTTCACCTCAGCATCTCAAGTGCTTCTAGCTAGATTCCAATTAGTTGACTTTCTTTTTGATGGGATATTCTGCTTGTTCTCCTTGGACACAAAAACTTCTGCCCTGTGCTCATGTGTAACGCTGCTTCTGGTCCTGCTCCTTGTTGTCTGATCCAAGCCCATGATTACATTTTTAATCTTTGCTTCAGATTCCAGGATGCAGCAGGGTGTTCCTGACACTCCCACCCGCTTGGTGTTCTCGGCCCTGGGGCCCACCTCACTGAAAGTCAGCTGGCAGGAGCCGCACTGTGACAAACAACTGCAAGGATACAGTGTACAGTACCAGCTTCTCAACGGAGGTCAGGGAACCTCTCTGTTTTGTCTGTGCAGGGCAAAGTCATGTGTCATTAGTCTACCAAGAAAAGCCCTGTTTTGTCAGATAGCATAATGGCAGAATGACCAATGTACAGTGTATGATTTCAAATCAAAAAGCACAATATTGTTATCACCTGTTCAGTTTGGAAAAATTACTTACTATATTGCTTTGCAGCTATCAATAAGGTCCATTTCCCTCTGTTACAAGATTGCCATCAGGTGGTCCAAACTGCTTCTATTGACTTTTAAACATCCAAAGCTAGGTATGGTCCTTCATTCATTAGCTCAGAGATAAGGAAACATTACTTTTTTTTGTCCTGTACCTCCTAGAATCTGCCAACTAGAATAGTCATGCTGGCTTGTGGATTCTGGAAGTTGTAATCCTCCAAAATTAATTTTCAAAGGTCTTCAGTTACTTGAGATGCATAGAAAGTACCATAATTTCTCCACACAGGGAGGAGAGAAACTCCATTGGTTACGGGCATTAAAAGCATGCAGCAAAAGAGAAAATGTGCACTGCTCACACGCTTCCTTCTTTTTCAAACACAAATTAGCCCACAGCTGCTTCTGCCTCTACATTAGTAGCAGTCATGCTGTTGGGAGAAAGGAGAACAGTATAAAAGTGTAGTGTACTCAATAAATAATACCAGGAAGCTAAACATTTCCACAGAAAGTATATTTTACAGCTTCTTTGGTAACATTTGAATGAATGATCTCAGAAAGAAGATATGCAGCAGAAAAAAATAATATATGGGCTGAGAGTTATCTATATTTATTTTCCCATCTAGTTCTACTAGTCTTGAAGGGCCACTTTGCATAAGATTAAAAATGACTATCCAGAGGTAAATATGGGCATACAAGACAATGTACCGTAAATCTCATGACATCATGTATAACGAGAGAGCTCATGTCTACTTCACCATGCCTAGGCATGGAAGAAAGGCTCCAGGAGGCACTGCATCACAAGTTGTATCAGTTTGCCAGTGGAAGCAGTGTTTGAGCCTTGTGAGAGTGACTGATGTGTCTTCTTCTGTTCCCCAGGAGAAATACGGAGGCTGACTCTCCCCAATCCCAATCAGAATTCTGTTGTGGTGGATGACCTGCTGCCGAACCACTCCTATGTCTTCAAGGTGAAGGCTCAAAGTGATGACGGATGGGGTCCAGAGCGAGAAGGTGTGATCACTATCGAGTCACAAGTCGATCCACGCAGTCCTCTGAGTCCTGTTCCAGGTAATGTGGCCTCCAGTTCCCTTGTTATAGGAGTATTCAAATATATGTATTGTTTGTATGACATTGCCTCCCTCTTTGTTGTTGTTTTTCTCTGTGATATTGTATCCTTCAGGAGTACTACCACTTATAGTAGTATTTACCTCTTTGAGAATTTCAAGTTGCCTTTTGAAAAATGATGTTTCTACCTCCCATGATTTCTAAGAACTGAGAAATATGTAGGCATTTGAACAAGGTCTAAATATCACAAAGGCACCCAATCCCATTTGATCTTAGAAGTTTAGTATGGCCAGCTCTGGTTAGTACTTGGATAAGAGCTCAACAATGAATACCAGGTGCTGTAGTTTCTGTTTAGAGGCAACAAACTGAGTATTTTTTGTCTTCAAAACTCTATAAAATTAGTGAAGTTGCCCTAAGTCGATAGGCGACTTGAAGGTACAAAAACACAACTAAATACTATAGAGGTTTGGGCAGGCCTTGGGTTTTTCAGCATGTTCTAAATCTATGCAGTATATTTCTCTCCAGCTTATGTTTTTTTAAAAAAATATATTATCTAGCTATTTATCTAATATAAAATATTTTTAAAGGAGGGTAAAGAGATAGTAAGGTAAAAGTAACAATAATAACCTTTACTTACCTAAGTCATACAAGGCAGCTTGTTGCTCTGAATATGAGATGGATGTCCCCTTGTTGCTGCCCTAAGAAAAATTGTAAATAGAAACTTGGAAATTTTGATTCATTGATGTAATGTTTCAAAATGAGTAAATCTGAATATTTAACATTAGTTATATAGCTAAATTGTTATTTTTTTAGGAGAATCAGCTGATAGCAGTGGACCACCAAAGCCCAAGTCTTGTAGTTTGTTATATTTTATTTGAATATAAGGTCTGTGTATAGAAATGTGCAAACATAAATTTCATATTAGAAAAAAGAAATACATTTCATGCACTCTAAAATATAAGTTTGGATATTATATAATTAGGGATTCAAGGTATGAATAAATCTGAAATTATGTTATGTACCTCAGGGCTTGCTCATTCTCTTTCTTCTTGACATCTCTGAACTGTTTTCCCCACTAATTCCTCTAGGTTCACCATTCACCTTGAGCACGCCCAGTGCTCCTGGGCCTTTGGTGTTCACTGCCCTGAGTCCCGACTCTCTTCAGCTGAGCTGGGAGAGACCTCGCCAACCCAATGGTTTGATTTTGGGTTACTTGGTCACCTGTGAGACACTGCATGGTGGAGGTATGTTACAGTTCTGAAACAAAATACAATTCAGAGAATTTCCTATACATGCAAATGTGGAAGTATTTAAATTGAGTATTTCTGCATGGCAGGATATTGAACGGGATGGCACTTGTGGTCTTTTCCAGCTCTATGATTCTGTGATTCTATGATCAATAAAACGGATCAGGGGAGTCACTGAAAACATTCAGCTCTCTTTGAGTTTCAGATCTCTGACAAATACACAAGAATCACTGGATTCAAATGTTTGGCAGAATAAACATGGCTAAGATAGACAACTGATGAAATTGATGTCTCTTGTTCTCAATGATTTTTCAAACCTGTTCTTTATGCTTGGGTTTATTTAGGAGAACCCAGAAATATATATGTGGAAGGGGACAAGCCAGAGACCACCCTGACAGTGCCTTATCTGAGTGAAAATGTTCCATATAAGTTCAAAGTGCAAGCAAAGACCACTCAAGGATTTGGACCAGAAAGAGAAGGGATCATCACCATTGAATCTCAAGATGCAGGTATGCTTTTTCACTGGTGTCATGATATAATCAATTCTTTCACCTACATTTGAGCATAGAATAACTGCTTCTTGGAACTTTAAAGCAAAAAAAGGAAATTCAAATTAATCTATTAACTAATTGATTAATTAATTAATTAATTAAGGAAGGATGGATTTAACCTGGCTGCTTTCTAGCATTGGACATGGTCAAAGGCAAAAAGGTGGGAACAAAAGTACCAGCATATTTTAGTCAAATATTATGAGTTCCAATAAGTCAGTATTTAGGAGATGTGTTGTTGAATGGAGAGGACAGAATATGCAAAATCTGTATAACTACCAAGTTGATCAATTGCCCTGGAGGATATGATGATTCCTAGAGTGGTGTTCTCTCAGGTAAAGAAAAACAGTAGGCTTTTATTTATGGCTTTTTCACTTCTGTAGAGGTTTTGCATCTTTAACCTTGCAAAAGTGTATGACATGCTGTATAGATTTGAGTAAGGTTGAAATGGTCATCAGGAATGTTACTGAGGTCTTTGATGCAGTTTACTGAATGAAACAGAACTGAGAAACTGAGAAACAGGAAAGTGTTTTGGGTGTACAACATGCAGCGTGGTATGTGCATTTAAGTGGAAAGGAATTTCATTTTGTTGTGACACTTGAGGAAGCGTCTTACTGGATTTCTTGCAATGTTAAACATAAATTGCCTTCTTTTTGGAATGTCAGTGAAGTGGGCCCCACTATGGAAAAACCACAATGATGTAAAATTTGAAATAATTTTAATTAAATTTTAAAAATAAATGTAATGTCAACACATTACTTTATCTTCAAATATGGTCTTGCTAATATTAATTTTTAAGAACTTCAGATAGAATAGCCATTTAGACATCCAGGAACTGGTTTCATTTTTCCCGTCCTCATCTGTTCTGGTTCAGGTGTATTCTCTCAGTTTGGAACACAGCAGTTCTCCAGAGAAGAGGTATACAGCATCCCCACAGAATACAACACCCTCACAAGTATAACTTCTTCCCCACTGGATCCTTTGTACACAGGTAGGAAAGGTGAATTATGGAAAAGGGGGATATTTGTGAACTATTGTGCTTGTGAGACCTTCACAAGAAGAGTGCTACTTTTCCTCTAGAGCAGTGGTTCTCAATCTGTGGGTCCCCAGGTGTTTATTCCTACAATTCCCAGAAATCCCAGCCAGTTTACTAGCTGTTACGATTTCTGTGAGTTGAAAGTCAAAACATCAGGGGACCTACAGGTTGAGAACCACTGCCTAGAGGATGTAATGGAGGAAGAGCAAAAATATGCGTACACAAATGCTACTCAGCTTTTGTTGAAAGGAATGTATCTCTGTCCATTGATAGCCAAGCATCAAACATCTCTTAGGCAAGTGCCATACGATAAGGGACTTAAAGAAAACAATGTGGCCATTGTTTCTGAATTAAACTTTTATGGCCTGGGATCTTGATGCTTAGAGAAGCAGAGATGTTGATGCTTAGAGAAGCAGAGCCTGCGGCACCACTTCCCACTCAAACCCAGGTGGATTGTACCTAAAATCTGCTGTCCAAGATGGCCGTCTCATACTTTTCATAGTAGGGACCAGTATTGTTGCTTGATTGGCAGTATTTATGAGGATGCAGCAAAAATCACCATTGGGTGACTGAAAGAAATGGACTGTGGTTGTGTTCAGCATATGGTATTAATATTTGAAAAAGAAGCTTTGCATTTCTTCAGGTCTCCCGTCCTCTGATGCCTGTTAGCAGCTTACAATTCATCCTGCCTCTCTGGTTCTATAAAATTGATTAAGGGTACCATCTACACCAGGGTCCTCAAACTAAGGTCCAGGGGCCGGATACGGCCCTCTAAGGTCATTTATCCGGCCCTCACTCAGGGTCAACATAAGTCTGAAATTACTTGAAAGCACACAACAACAACAATCCTATCTCATCAGCCCAAAGCAGGCCCACACTTCCCATTGAAATACTAATAAGTTTATATTTGTTAAATTGTTCTTCATTTTAATTATTGTATTGTTTTAAGTGTTTTTTTGCACTACAAATAAGATATGTGCAGTGTGCATAGGAATTCATTTGTGTTTTTTTCAAATTATAATCTGGCCCTCCAACAGTTTGAGGGACTGTGACCTGGCCCTCTGTTGAAAAGGTTTGAGGACCCCTGATCTACACTGTAGAATTAATGCAATTTGACACCACTTTAATTGTCATGGAGTCACGGGAGTTGTAGTTTGGTAAGAAGCAAGCACTCTTTGGCAGGGAATACTAAAGACCTTGAACAACTACACTTCCGCAGCATTGAGCCATGGTAGTTAAAGTGGTCTCAAACTGGATCATTTCTACAATGTAGGTGAAACCTTAGTATCTGCCAACTAACACATGCATACAAACAGAGGCACGACTAACATGATTTCTGCATTGTCCCTTCTTGTTCCAGATGGCATGCTGATGACCACGCAGAGAGTGGAGAGTGGCAGCACTCTCACCAAACAGGTCACCCAAGAGTTTGTCTCCAGAACCATGATGTCTAATAGCAGTGGGACATTCTCCAGACAGACAGAGAGGCAATTCTATGAAGCTTGAGTCAGGAAAGAAATTGCAAGAGGGTGTTTGACTCTTCACAAGTGGATGATTGCAAGCAGGCTGGTTCTATGGTCCGCTTCCAGACTCAGAAGGACATGACGTGTGATGCATTGCATCAGTTCTCAAAGCAATTGCAGTTCCTTTCGAAATGCCAATGGGTGGAGGCTGCATGTGGCCCAGGCGGGACACTATGAACAAAGCTTTTAGCAAGACGCTTGGCTACCAAGGGCTTTGGGTTAGATCTGTTTTGAGTCATGTTCTTGACCGTCTCATGCTTTGCTTTTCGCTGTTCTTACCTGTTTGACTGCACAGGACTCAATTTGTTCCTAACTCTCAAATCCCCATCCTATTTTTTCTAGTTGTATTTTAAAATTCAATCCATTCCCAAGTTTCCTTTCTTTCTCACTCCAAATCTCTAGACATAGCTCCTCTGTGTCAATACCATTATCCTGTTCCCCCCTCCCAAAAGAAGTGCTATGCTCTTGGACAAAAAGCCATACCTATTCTAAATTTGTCATTTTTATAAATGCACCCCTTGTAGTCAGGGGGTAGTGTGTTATTTGTGTTCTTTTCCTACACGTGTCAGCAAAAACCCTTTGTCTATAGTTTGGTATTGATATGACTAATTAGAACATTCATTTGCATAGCATTACCTACAATGCTTTATAGTGCAATCCTATCTTATTATGTAGGAGCCCCCGGTGGCACAATGGGTTAAACTCTTGTGCCAGCAGGACTTAAGACCAACAGGTCAGAGGCTTGAATCCAGAGAACGCGGATGAGCTTCCTCTGTCAGCTCCAGCTCTCCATGCGGAACATGAGAGAAGCCTCCCACAACGATGGTAAAACATCCGGGCGTCCCCTGGGCAACGTCCTTGCAGACAGCCAATTCTCTTACATCAGAAACGACTTGCAGTTTCTCAAGTCACTTCTGACACGATAAAAAATGTAGTTTGCCTAATATGCACAATTTGGAGGGCTGTTATTTTATGCAGATTGTCTTACCACCAGCTTCCTTTGTTAGGGATGTGCATATCTCATGGCATTACAGTCTTGCCAGAAGAAGCCCTTAAAAATGATCTGGGGATTCTAACCAATGAGGCTTTTACCGTGGAATCTGCCTTGTCCTTGGAGTGTTATAGATGACTCAGACATCATTTTCTATTCTTCTAGCCCTATGTTTTCCCACAGCTTCTTCCAAACCAAAGAAAATCTATTAAGGAAAAGCTGGGTGAGCTAGATGGTGTTTTTTCACTGATAATGCTAGGAGCTGCCAACTTAAAAACATTTTAAACCAAAATCCACATTACAGTTGCCATTGAATTCCAGTTGTAATTCTCCCTGCCTTGCTCCAAGTTGGCAGTGCCAACAGGTCTATTTCATTGGTGTATATCAGTGCCATGGGCTTTAGCCCAAGTATAACAAAGTTCTGTCATACTGTCTGCTCTTCTTTCTTCCTCACAAGATACAACAACTTTAATCTAAATTATGTAGGCTGCATCTTTTGGAACTTCTATAACACATGTTACTGTGGTGTTAGTGGTTTGAGTATCAGTCTACAACTCTAGGGAATACGGTTCGAATCCCTGCTGAAACATGAAACCTACTGGGTAATCTGAGGCAAGTCACACTCTCTCAACCTCAAAGGAAGGCAATGGCAAATCTTTTCAGAACACATTTTGCCAAGAAAACCCTGTGATAGCACCTTAGAACCACCGTATGTCAGAAATGACATGAAGGCACCCAACAACAACAAACACAAGATTTCTATTCCTGCACCGTTTAGGTAGTTATATGGACACTACAAGTGGCTGGGCACATCTATATTTAACAAAGTCCATTCCATTCCTTCCCTGTCTTGCCTAATAGAATCAAGTTGAACAGGAATCAACAAGGCAGGAGTGGCTAACCAGAGATTGGTAAAGAATTTTATGTGCAGATCCAGACAGGAATTTAATACATGGAAACCAAAGCAGAAAAAACAATGCTCCTGGCTTTGATACAGCCACTGAGTTTCCAATATGGAGTGACTGTTTCACCTTCCTTAGAATGGAAAAAAGTAGTGTTTTCTTATATGAATGTTTTTATTTATTTATATGTATGCAAATTTAACAAACAAGCCAGATGGTACAATCTCCCAGGGTTTTATGCTCGCGCTTTTCTCCTTGCTTGGAAGCCATCCAAAATCTAGAGGAAAGACTCCCAGCTGAACTCTACTGAAGGAGATTGCCACGTTGTGCATTTTGCAGCTTTGGAATAATGTCGCTTCCAATTTTTGTATGGCTATTGCAAAAAGGAGATGTTTTCAAACCCTTTCCAGCAGAACAAACAGGTTCTATGCTGAGAAAATCTAATGCAAGTGCGTTTCCTAAAATACAGTTAACCAATCTTCACAAAGTAATGCCCAATGTGCAATAGATAAACTGGGCATATACCCTACACCTTATTCCAGAATCCTTTGCAATGCACATTGTTGCTATAGATTTTTGTTTCCTTGAAAGATAAAAGATTGAATACCATGGTCTTTACAAATGTTAACACTTCTACCACAATTCAGACCAAGCTGATCTTTCTCTTTCATTTCTCTTTTGACAATACTAGCACCAAGATTTCTTGCATATGAATTTGTGCAATCCAAATGAATCTTAAAAATATATAAGCTCAAGGTGAAGGTTGTTTGGGCTGGGTTCAAAAAACCAGGTAACGGGTGCTCTTATTTTCTGTCTCTTGGAATCTCATTTTGGATGTTATTGCAAACTGCTTCATAGCAACAGTGTGAGTCTATAAAATTTCCCAGGTCATCTTTCCAAAGGAGATGATTTCTTTGTATATCTAGACATCTAAAACCAGCAAATAAGTTACTTCATGGTTACTTTATATACAACCCTGAATCAAGTATTTTATTAGAAAGGGCTATCTACAGAATGTACTCAAACATCCTTCTGTAAAGTCACCTTGTTACCACCAGTTACAATTACATGCTGCGCATTAGAGTGCTTTTTACTCAAGGAGCCCCACAGGCCTTAATATTAACCAAAGAGCCCATTTAAAGGGGAAATTGGGCCAGACATCAGCAGAGCAGTGGTTCTAATGCCAGTTTTAAAAGGGAATGTGTTTTCTGCTCACATAAAGGAAGAAACACAATAGAATATAAATTATATTTTTGTTGCCTGTTATGGCTTACAGAAGTTGGTGGCATTTAATACGTATGTGGTGTGAATAATAAAACAGTCTAACAGCTGGTATTCTGGACCAGATGGCTTTCTATTGCACTTAATAAACATTTTCTCTTTGATTCCAGCTGGGTTTTTTTATTTCCAAATGTGCCTAATGGAAAAGAGGCTGGCAGCTGGGGCTCTTGGCAAAAATAGGGCTATACATCCTATGAAGAGCTAGGAAGGACTATGCACATGGATTTCAATAAGCAGAGGCACATATAGTTCAGCAAAGGATGGGAGTTATAGAAGCAAAGACTTGATAGACAGATAGACGGAAATACTTTGCCATATTCTCATCTAGATGTTTCTCAAAACGTTTAATGTCTAAAAGGATCTAAAAATGGATAGAAGACTGAGACCAAAATAATAACAATGCTTATTTATAATGCCCTTTCCATCAAAGAGTGGCATATCAAACATGGACATAAAACATAAAAGTATAATTACACATAAAATGCCCAATATCCCCAAATCACTGTCCATCTCAGCAACCTCAAACACAACTCATCAGTTCAATCTGGTGAATCAAAGCTCTCCAACCCCTTATGAAAATTGGTGAGATCTTCCTCCACCTGGAGATCCAAAAGAAGACCATTGCATAAAGGTGGATCCAGATTTGGAAAGGCCTGCAGTATGGCAAATGCTTTGCTTGTGTATACTGAATTCCTACGTGGTGCATACTATGCTAACCAAGTTGGCAGGTACTGGGGGAGATTGGAGTGCAGTCCACTAAATACCAGAATACCAAGAGTTTGAAAGAGGTCCTTTTTACTTCAAGACTATAAAGAGAGAAGAGACAGATACTGGAATCAAGGGGGGGGGAGGGAGGGGGAAGAGCAGGAGATGTATCTCAAAGTGAATATTAAAGCATTTTTAAAATATTATTTTGGAAAAAGCCCAATGTCCTTCGACTGACATGTTTTGTTTTGTTTTCCAAAGTAAAAAGTGAAGATGGTTTACTTGGAGATATCTCCCTGCTTTTCCCTGAAGATCTTAAAGGGACACAGGCATAGTCTGTGGAGGAGAAGGTTAGGTCTGTGCCCCTTTAATATAAAATTATGGTTTTAAAATCCCTGTTTTCTTGGATGGTCCAAGAATCCAAACCATTTTTTATCTCTTTCTTCCTACCACAGTGTCTATGGAGGGACTTAAGTATTAGAGGTGCAGACATCATGTAATTAATGACATATGTCTCAATTATCCATTTATTTACAAATACACAAGTCTTGCCCCACAACAATAGAGCAAATTAGGCTTTCTCTGACATCAGATGACGAACACATCCTCTCCCAGAAATGTTAAGGAAGAAAGAAAAACACTACCTATAAATCTGATTTTTAAATCATATTAAAAATAAATTCCTTAGCACATTATTTTGAGGTTTCTATCCCAAATAGATGGGGGATCAAGTACTGAGTTGAAGCTTTGTGAATTCTCCTAATCCCTGATAGCAGCAGCAGTAGCAGCAAATCCTTGTGTGGCAATCAGGAGTTTGTTTTCAAGGCAGGTGGTGTACTTTAGCTCCATCAGAAGGCTTTGAGAAATAAAAAGTTGGTGTCCCACTGTATTTTTCCTAATGGTAAAAAATCAAGATCAAGAATCAGGATCTATAATTGTCTAGATGTCAAAAGTACTATCTCAGGGTAGAGACCTGTCATGCCAAGACTTGAACTATGTAATAAAGCTAATCCACAATTTCAAGCTGGCAGAGAAGTCTTTTCTGACCTGAGTAATAATTCTTTCTAAGTTAACGTGTTGGAGGCTGTTACGCCACACCAAGGAAGGTGTGCTGCCCTGACGTGTCTGGTGTATCACAATCACTCTTTCAAACTGTACCCACTATAATAATTGACACCAATGGAGAGCTTTCAGAAAACTTCACTATATCTGATGAGTGAGAATCCCTAATCTCCAACCATGGATCAATCACTAATAACAGATAAGGCTAGTCAGGTTACATTCTGGAGTTGTATTAGGACTTGTTTGAACAAGGATGGGGGAAAGGTAACCTGAAGGCCTCATGTAGCCTCTAGAGCAGTGGTTCTCAAACTGTGGGTCCCCAGATGTTTTGGCCTTCAACTCCCAGAAATCTTAACAGCTGGTAAACTGACTGGGATTTTTGAGAGTTGTAGGCCAAAACACCTGGGGACCCACAGGTTGAGAACCACTGCTCTAGAGCTATTTATGTAGCCCACAAGATCCCCCCAAAAGTGTGTGTGTTTATTGGGGGGGGGGTATTTTTGCCCTAGATACTCCCAAAGGGTTGTAGAGGGCAGCTCTGCCATGTTTTTGGCCACATTTTCTCCAATAAAAGGACATTTCCTGTTGAAAAAGATCTTTTCCTGGGGCCAGAAAAGGCCAGAAATGTGGAAATATTGCTATCTATCTATCATTACAACATAACACACAATAAACAAAAAACCAAAACAATGAGCATAAGAATAGATATCTGTAAATAAAATACTTTCCTGGTGACAGAAAATGTGATAAAAGATGAAATAACAACCAAGATCAATTTTCTAGTATTTCAAATGAGCTTAGGAAGAACCAAATGGTGTTGTTTCAAGGTATGGAGAGGTAATGAGCATAACCCATTTTTGAGCTAAGGTCTCTGGAGTGGTCAATCCTTTGGATGTTGATTTCGTAGGATAATTTCTCCATGAGTGTCACAAACCAAACCCTCTGTAACCAACTGGAGAAAATTAGCCAGTCTAGCATTCTCTTATTTTACTGCCAATAAGAAGGTGCAATGAGTTCCTTATGCTTCATATGATCTTGCCATTTGCTCATATGAAGATGGACAAAATAACACAGCCCCAAACAATATATACTGGTTTGTCATTCTGGAGGAATGGCTTTTGACTAATGGGCAAAATTTTTAAAAATTATTATTTATTTATTTCATGTCAAGAGTGACTTGAGAAACTGTAAGTCAGTTCTGGTGTGAGAAAATTGGCCACCTACAAGGACATTGCCCAAGGGAAGCCCGGATGTGTTACCATCCTGTGGGAGGCTTCTCTCATATCCCTGCATGGGAAGCTGGAGCTGACAGATGGGAGCTCACCCCACTTCCCCAGATTCTAACAGCTGACCTTTCGGTCAGCAATCCTGCCGGCACAAAGGTTTAACTCATTGCACCACCGGGGGCTCCATGGGCACAATAACCATATATGAAGAAAAGAACCTGGTTTATTGCTTCCTCTCCAACAGAGAGGGGATAAAGAGGCATTGACCTTAAGAGGGTTTGCAAGGCTTTAAATACTATCTCTGCAGTGTTTAAAACTCTTGTACATTATGCAAGGCTGAGAGGGATTTAAATGAGGGGAACACTGAGATTTTGACCCATTCTGCTTCAGTTAACTGTTGCATTTAATTCAAATTCCCACCACACTTTTAAACCTACATTAATGTGAATAATCTAACTGTCAATTATATATATATATATAAGGCAGAAGTCATTTGGAAGCAAAACTGTGGGATACACATACTTATGTGAAGTGTAAAATTGCTCTTTGTGTTGCTGGAGAGCAGGAAAGATTTCTAGTAAAGCTGGTAATCTGATAATAATGAAGCTAAGAGATTGGTTAACCAACTATTTCTGTCTGAACACACCTGGCTGTGGGTTAGCCTTGGTGGAATAAAACTCCAGTTCTATAAATTCCTCTCTTCCTCCTTCCTTTCCTTTACTGCTTGCTGATTAACTTCTGCACTAAACAGAATTATCTTTGAAGGAATGTATTAGAAAATGAGAAGGAGCTAGAAGTATAGTTCATCTGCTCCACACTCATAATGTTGAGGAAAGACTTTTGTAGGTTAGACTATGTGAATAATCTCGCCATGAAAAAAGCCATACTTTTGCATCTGGCCCCAGAACAGGACTCAATTATAAACTATATTTCTTCCCAATATGGATGCAAATTATGGTAGTGTTCGAAGTAGTTCTCCATTACCAGTATGTACTCTACATACCTTGATGTGTTTCACAACTTTCTCAGCTGCTCCAGACTCAAGCAGGGTGACAGTGCAACCTCCGAAGCCACCACCAGTCATCCTGCTTCCATAAACCCCAGGGACCTCCATGGCAGCAGAAACAAGCTCATCTAGTTCTGGACAGCTGACTTCGTAGTCATCCCTGGAGGTGGAGAAGGGGAGGAGAAGTCAGTGGGTGACAAGACTGTCACTGCTAGCAAAAGACTGTCACTGCTAGCATTTCAACCCACACTATCCTAACTCTGCCCTGTTGTGACTTAACAGAAATATGTTAGCAAGAACTTGCATTGCAGAAGTAGACAAATCCAGTCTTGGGCAAAAATTATCCTGAATAAGATCCAGAGGACACTAGGAGAGAGTGCAGTTTTATTACTACTATATTCATTGCTGAAATTGTTATTATTTTAAAATATCCAAATATGATTGAGAGCCAGTGTGGGTGAATCTTGGGTTTATGACTCTGGAGACCAGGGTCTGGATCCCCGCTTGGTAATGGAAACCCAACAGGTGACCTTGGGAAAGCCACACTCTCTCAACCTCAGAGGAAGGTCATGGCAACCCTCTCTTAACAAATCTTGCAAAAGAAAAACCCCATGATAGGATCACCTTACAATTGCCATAACTTAGCAACAAGTTAAAAACAAACTACAACAAGAAGGTTCTGTTCAGTATATGGAAATCACTATTTTCATCTAAACAGAAAAGTATCCTCAAAGTACATGTGATGAGCTTGTATATAGAATTAAAAGTACATACTGTTATGTCAACATGTTAGGAGAAAAAGAGGTTTGTTGTGGCACATGGTCTGCATCGTGGTTTTCATAAACCACGCACATTTTCCAAACAGTATTGCGAAGTTATCTTGCTCAAAACAGATACATAAAAAGAAAACTATAGATCTATAGATATCAAATTACACTGAGATGAAACACTGAAGAAGTGAGTGGACTGGTTATACCTCTACTGACCTAACACAGTCTGCAGGTCAGGCATTCATACAACAAACTGTGGTCTCATAAGAAGGCTATATAGAACAATTCACATGTTGAAATCTAGGGTCATTTATGAAATGGCTCTTTTGAAACATGATCTTAAAATACGTAGTAATAAAGCAAAAACATTATCTGTTAATGTTTTAACATCTCTGGGATGTTGGCCCACCTCAAGGAATTGTGACTCTCCACCATCAGCTGACCAAACTGCCGATAGTCCCTGGACTGTAAGGCCTCCACAGCCATGGCAGTGCGCTCTATCTCTCCAATCACATGCTTAGCTCGCCTGTACACTTCCTGACTCAGGAGGACCTTTGCCTCTAGGAGCAGGGAAAAACAGTTCTGTTAGACAGGACTGAGAAAACAACTCAAATTTCAAACATACCCTTAAGAGTGCAAGTGGGGAGCCTTGAGAAGTCAGTTCCTCAAGCTTCTCCATGCCCCAGAAAATACCCCAGACAAATACATTCACGTGAAAGAGAAAAACGGGAAAAAAACATCCACCACAGGAAATCCTACTTCATTTCCCTCTCTAGTAACTCTCAAAATGAAGATAGTACAAATACTGTCTACAAGCGAATATTAGGGGAGAAATGGGTTTCGCCCCCATGTGATGTCCCACCACAGTTTAGAAGAAGTTGCGATGGAATGCAAATGTGTGCATGTTATACATGAATGAAGAAGATTGACCCTTTCCTCTTCGTCCCCTTTTGCTTCAAAGGCAGAAAGCCATATAGAAGGAAAAGAGGGAGGCACTCACTGCCACCCTCTCTGCTATTTCATTGGCTTTTATTAAACTAGACTTACTCTCCAAATCTGCCAAAGTGGCTTCTCTCAAGCTTGGCTTTCCAAGCACCTTCACTGCTTCTTCACACTGGTGTCGACGAGTGGGATACTCGCTGCCTGTCAAGGTGTGCCGGACATTGGAGTTGGTGATGAGAACAACTACATTTGGGTCAGCCAGAGGGACCAGTCGAGTCTCCAGTGACCTGCATTCACAAGATTAAAGAGCACAAAGATACTTTAAGTTTGCATTCTGGGTGCTTCTGTTTATGGGTGCATATTTATGTTTTTACAATATATGACAAAAATGCTTTCCTGCTTTAATGCTGCCCAATAAAGGTTCAGAGAATCCTTCCCCATATTGGAAGATGAAAACACAAAGAAGAGATCTGTTGAACTGCATGGAAAGGCCTCCTTCCTCCATTACAGCCATACAAAGCCTTACCATCCACATGCCAGACATGTCTGAAGTGGGCTCCATATGAATGATGATGTATACAACAAGTACACAAAGAGTGGGGACACAGATTAGACAAGATTACCCCTCACAAGGATAAACCCTATGCACAATCAGCAAGACACATATGAAGTCCCTGCAGAGAATAATATCCTCACCTGCAGTCTATCAGCAAGGCATGGCCCTCCTTCCCCATCACAGAAATGAACTGGTCCATGATTCCACAAGGCATCATTGCAAAGGTGTGTTCTGCTTTTTGGCACACTAAGGCCTTAGCAACAGGATCCCCATCATCTGTGATGAGGAAGAGAGTTGGTATCAAGTAGATTAGTTGTTTTATGCCTGACTTCACATTAGACTTTCCCTGGTAAAAATGAGAACAAGCATGCAAGTTCAGTTGGATTAGACATATGGATTAGACATGCAATCGGGAGGATGCTTTTTTTAAAGCTGCCTTTCAATACACACACACACACACACACAAAATAACAGTAAAATATATGTGTGTGTATGTGGTTGGGGTGTCCACTTACACAGACAGACTCCCACTTCCATAAACAGCTATAGCTCCCAATACGCAGGAAAAACCAATGGCCCTCCCTCCAATGACATTGCAGGTTATAGTGAGTGCCATGAACATGTCCAAAAGCCCGGCCAATGTCCTCCACAAACACCATACTACCCACCACCCAAATGAAGGCTTTCATATGGGGACAATTTCATCCTAGATTTTGTTTTTCCTCCACCACAGACATCCCAGTATTTCTTACTCTCTCCATTGGTGTGGAATTTACATGACCCTGCCCACTGCCTCTCCCATAACCCTTTCTATTCTTCTCTTCAGGACACAGCAAACAGAGGAATTGATCAGCAACTGAACATATTGGAGGGATTTCGAGGATTATAGGAGTTAAAGGTACTGGGATGTACAGTTCACCTGCAATCTAAGAGCACTCTGAACTCCACCAACGATGGACCTGGAACTAACTTGGAACACAGAAGCCCATGACATACAAAAAATACTGGAGGTCTTTGGAGGGATTTATAGGAGTTGTAGTTCACCTATATCCAGAGCGCACTGTGAACCCAAACAACGATGGATCTGGATCAAACTTGGCATACATACCCGATATGCCCAATTTGAATACTGGTGGGTTTTGAGGGAATTGGCCTGGACATTTAGGAGTTGTAGATACTGGGATGCATAGTTAACTTGCAATCAATGAGCACTCTGAACTCCACCAAAGATGGAATTGGACCAAACTTGGCACACAGAACCCCCATGACCAACTGAATCTAATATAGGGGTTTGAGGGGACTGGCTTGCCATAGTGGGAGTCGTAGTTTACCCTGTATCCAGAGAGCACACTGAACCCCACTGATGATGCATCCAGAGCAAATCTGCCCAACATAACAAACTTTAAGTACTGATGGAATTTCACAGGGTTAACCTGGCATGATGTGAGTTGTAGTTAATCCACAACCTTATGCATCTTGTACAAGTAAAAAAAATGACTTTTTCAAATAACCCGAGCAACGCTGGATACCCAAGCTAGCAGGACAATATTTTCCACTCTGACTGGCAACAACTCAGTACAGTATGTTGTTGCCCATGGGTGTTGTTGGAATGTAACTGTCATCAGATGTAGGTAGCAAACTGAGAAGCTTCATGGGGGATACAGTGAAAAAGCATCCGAAAGGCCATTAATTCCCCGCAATCAATCAACCAAGGCTGTGAATGGTCATTCCAAGTCCTTGCTATTATCAGAAATGCCAGGGATTGAAACCTAGATTAACTGTGTGCCAGGAGAGGGCTCTTGTACTGAATTATGGCCCCTTCCACTCTATTAAATGAACATGACTAGCAGCAATAGAAGTCCAAGACTGATTCTTACCTGGGCAGAGCTGCTGCAGGAAAGTGTACACGGCCACTTCCAAGGAGGCTGAGCTTGAGAGACCACCACCCAATGGGACATTGCTGCTTATGACAGCATTAAACCCCAGGAGAGGAGCAGCTACAGAGGAACAGAAAAGCAACAGAAGGGGAAAAAGCCAGTTAAAAAATAAAAAAAATTCTGGTTTGCTAGTAAAACTGAATTACTGTGTTACAAAATAATGCATGCATAAAAAGTGAGTTGCCAACATGAAATGCTTGGAAAGCTCTCCACTAGAGATTCCCAGAGAATCCATGTTAGCCAAATCCACAAGAGTGAGACCTACAATTCTGGAGGGCCAACTGTATTTTGAACCTGCTCAGACTTACATCACTGATGCATACCATGTTCCCACTAAGGAGAAGGTGGAAAGTCTTAATCTTTCCAATCATATATATCATCATAATCTTGTTTTCTCTATATTTGACAAATTACGTACTAACTTCAGATCCTACCTTTATAATGCTGGACAACTCCCTTGGCATAGTTAGCCCAGTGAGGCTCTCCAGGATTCAAGGTAACCCCTTCCTCTGGAACAGTGAACTCCACCTTTCTAGGCTCTTCAGCTTCTTCTGCAGTTGTGACAATGCATATTGTTTTGTCTTTTCTTGGGCTCCCAACCATCACTGTACTCATCTGCAAGGCCTGAAGGAGGAGACAATCACTGAATCCCTCAAAGTATAAAACAGGGACAATAGTTATGTGAATGCAATCAGCCAAATAGCATTTTTCACCATAAGTTGGACATGGCTGTAAATCAAGAGCAGGGACTGGGAATGAAAGACAGGAAAAGCCATGTAGATGTCGCAACAGAAGAAGAGTTCATTATTTATTCATGGCATTCATATTTCATTTCCACCAATTAGTTCAAAACTGTGACTCTCCCACCTGCCAGGCAGATTGGGCTGAGAGAATGTAACAGGCTAAATGTTACCCAGTCAGTTTCAAGGCTCAGTGTGGACTTGAAACTAGATCTTCCAAGTCCCAGTCCTGGAGTCTTAACCACTGCACAGTTCTGTACCACACTAACTAACTTGTTCCTGCTAGCATGAATAAAGTTTTTTAAAAGAATTTCTGCATGCGGAAGTCATGGGGACCTATACACCACAAATTGCTACTAAATTCGTGCTTCTCATATGTAATACAGGTAACTCCAAGTTAAGAATGGGGGTGAGACATCAAGAAGTGAGAGAAATCTACCCCCAGGAAGGGAAATAATAATAATAATAATAATAATAATAATAATAATACTTTATTTGTAACCCACCCTAACTCCCCGAGCGGACTCAGAGTGGCTTCCCATGAGTAACAAAAATGGCAAACATTCAATGCCAAAAACAAATGACAAATCAAGTCAAAAACAATGGATAAAACAATCTCAATTTGACTTATAAAAACCAAAAATCAACCAAAAATTAAACTGAAATAAAGATAACATATAGAATCCCCTCCTGAAAGAGTTATTATCATGGGGAAAGGGGTCTCTACAAAAGCTTTCTCACCAATCCTTGTTTCCACGACAAGCCAACATTTCCAAAATCAAAGTATCACAGGGACAGAAAGTGGGGTGAACAGGGGTACAAACTGCAAAACAAACCCCAGAGGGGTGCTAACCCTTCCCTATACTATGCAAAGCTTAAATATACATATACATATATATGTTGGCTGGAGGTTCACTTAAAATATACTTGTTCCAACATACATACAAATTCAGCTTAAGAATAAACCACCCAGGCCGAAAGACTTCTAACAACCCGGTAATTCCGGCCATGAAAGCCTTCGACAATACTGTGAAACTATAACTCTACTTGAGGGCGGTGCTTCTCAGGTTGTCTGATACAGGAGGGTGTCAGCATGTCTCTTTCTTCGGAGGCTGCAGGAGCCAATCCATGCCAGGCCAAGTCTTGTGCCTGTATTGCTCTCCTTGCAAACACACACAGACACACACGCCCTTACCATCGGCAGCACGAAGCCCTGGTTGTAGTCGGTGTGCTCCCCGATCAGATTCACCCTCCCCGGCGCCGAGACCGCGACCCGGGGCTCCATCCCGAAAGTCCCCTCGAAGACCCGGCGGGCGGCCGCCAGCAGCGAGCCCAAGAGACCGGCCTCCCTCGACCCCTCCATGCCAGAGGCAGACTGCCCGCCGCTTCCTGGATTGCGAAGCTTCCCCCGAGCGCCCTCCAGGGGGCGCCGCTCCCCGCCTCCCTCCCGCCTCGCCTCGCCACGTGGGTCTTCCCCCGAGGCTTCCTCATTCGCAGGTTGACGTCACGCTGGCTTGAAGTATTAGGCACAGGCCCATCTACTCTGCAGGTTGAAATCAATCAGTTTAACTCCTCTGGCACGTTCCTTTGGAATAATAATAATAATAATAATAATAATAATAATAATTATTATTATTATTATTATTATTATTTTACTGACACAAAAGCACAGTATGTCACAGCAAAAGAGATCTATCTGCTGGATTTCATATCACAAAATCACAAGTCAAACACTTCCCAAGCATCTAGGACTGTGTGATGTATTTTCGAATGATGCGCGCAGATCCAAGTAAGGTGGCCTTTTGCAGTTGACAGATCGTGATTTTGTCGATGTTTATTGTTTCCAAATGCCGGCTGAGATCTCTTTTCACTGCACCCAGTGCGCCAATGACCACTGGGACCACTTGTACTGGTTTATGCCAGAGCCTTTGCAATTCAGTTTTGAGGTCTTGACAGCGGCTGAGTTTTTCCTGTTGTTTTTCCTCAATGCGAGGACCTTCTTATAGTAACACCAGAGGCACTCCAAGTGGCCAGCTACTGGTCAACAGGCATTTAATCAACTACCAAGCTTACAAACTTGGTGTTTTGTTTGTTTGTTGGTTGGTTTGTTTAAAAATGCAATACAACTGTTTGGCTTGCTCCTGACACGATAAATAAATAAATGCGGCTGTCACCTGGTATGGCAACATCAATAATCCAGATTTTTTTCTTTTCCACAATCATGATGTCTGGCATATTGTGTTCCAATATGGATTCGAAAGTCCCACAGTATTTTTGCATGTTCATTTTCCACGACCTTTGCGGGTTTATGATCCCACCAATTCTTTGCTGCTGGCAGGTGGTACTTGTGACATAAGTTCCAGTGAATCATCTGGGCCACAGAGTTGTGCCTTTGTTTGTGGTTTGTTTGTGTGATTTTCTTGCAACAGCTGAGGATATGGTCCATGGTTTTATCAGCTTCCTTGCACAGTCTGTATTTTGGGTCATCTGCTGATTTTTCAATCCTGGCCTTATTGACATTGGTTCTGATGGCTTGCTCCTGGGCTGCAAGAATCAGGCCTTCTGTCTCCTTCTTCAGGGTTCCATTTGTGAGCAATAACCAGGTCTTCTCCTTGTCAACTTTTCCTTCAATTTTGTCAAGGAACTGCCCATACAAATGCTTTGTTGTGCCAGCTGTCAGCTCTGGTTTGTAGTGCAGTTTTCTTGTACTGACTCTTTGTCTGCTGTGCTTTGAGAAGTTTCCAATTATTGACTTCGATTAAATCAGGTTCATAGCTTTCCTTTACATATTCTGCCAGTGCATGTTTTTCTTCTTTGACTTGCTTGTTTTACTTGTAAGAGTCCTCTGCCACCAGACTTTCTAGGCAGATAGAGCCGGTCAACATTCACTGCGAGGATGTAGTGAATTATGAATGGTCATGAGTTTTCTTATTTTTCTGTCCAAGTTGTCCAGTTCTGCCTGCGTCCAGTTTATGATGCCAGCAGTATACATTATGTATGGTCCAGGTGTTTATCATCATCATCATCATCATTATCTGAAACACAACAAGATTAGTACACAGCAAACAAGGTCAGTATGCTGGCTGTTGTATTGGATCCCACGTCGAACTCTTCCCAAGTGTCTAGGACTGCATGATGTATCGGCAAATAATGCGTCCAGATCCCAGTTGGGTGGCCTTTTGCAGTGGACAGATGGTAATTTTGTCAGCGCCAATTGTGTTTAAGTGCAGGTCAAGGTCTTTAGGCGCTGCACCCAAGGTGCCGATCACCACTGGGACCACCTTGACTGGCTTGATTATTATTTTACTGACACAAAAACACAGTATATCATAGCAAATGAGAGATATATGCTGGATTTCATATTATTATTATTATTATTATTATTATTATTATTATTATTATTTCTTACCTGCCTCTCCTCCTGGCTCAAAGTGGTTACATCGTTTCAACAGAAAAGAGGAAAACATGAAAATGCACAAAATCTGACTTTGAAAATTTAAAAATCTGACTTTGAAAATTTAAAAAACCAGGACAGTAAATAAAAAGGACCACTCTAAAAACAGGGGAATTTCAGACAGGAAACAATCAGGCCCAGTTGACACCTCACAACAAAGGATTCCCCCAGGCAGCAACCAGCTGCAAGGCTCTTCAATGCTAATCAAGCTGGCCAATTGCAACATTCACCCTTGCCTCCAACAGACAAGAGTTCTTTCTCCCTCCCTGGACCTTCCACAGATACATACACCCCACTTGCCTAGTTTCCAACAGACCTCACAACCTCTGAGAACGCCTGTCATAGATGCATCATTAGAATAGTCTAATGATAATCTAATCAGTAATTAAAAATCAATTTTAAATGACAATTTTATGCCAGATATTCCAAGTATTGTCCCTGGGCCGCCAAGCACTGCTCGCCTTGTCAAAGAACAGAGTAGCAAGGCTTGCTTAAAGTTTCTCTTGCAATTTCAAAACATTTTGGACTTCAACTCCCACAATTCCTAAGAGCACAGGTCTCAAACACCTGGCGGGCCCAGTTTGCCCATGCCTGTGTTCAAGCTACTCTGGAGTTTCAAACTTGTTGCGGAGCAAAGCGTCAACATTCCTAAAGCAGAGGAATGGTCCACGTGGAAGAGGGGGGGAGTCATAACAAAGTACATCAACGCTTTTTTTGCAAAAACGAACCCTATTCGGTAAAAAACTCTTGTGGCGTTCCCAGTCTAGTTTTCACCCACCACCATCCCTTAAAACTCTGTCTCTTTTCCTCTTTTCCACTCCCTATTCCCCCCTATTTTCGGGAATAAATGGTACCTCCCAGAACGCCGCCTTCTGTCCGCGGAAGGGTTCGGCATTACATCGGTGGCGGCCACTAGGGGGAGCCCCGAGCGGAGCGGCTCCATTGCTTTCCGAAGAGCTGGCGGGGAGGGCGAAGCATGAGCGCCAAAGAGCCGCTGCTGGGGACCCTCAAAGGTGAGAGAGAGGGCAAGTGGGGCTGGGGGTGAGCAGGGGAACAGGCTGGGGGGAAAGCAAAGAGAGACACAGAGAGAGGGAATGGATGAAAAGAAGGAGGGGCATCCACACTGTTGTAGGACCAATGCAGGTTGACACCGCTTTAACTACCATGGTTCAATCATCATAGGAGTTGCAGTTTTCCTTCCCTGTCAAAAAGCTCTGCTGCCTTACCAATGCCATGGAACTTGAAGTGGTGTCAAACTGCATTAATTTTACAGTGTAGATGCACTCTGAGTGGGTTTTTCCCCCAAGCATTCCCTATGTGGAGGCTGCCAGAGAGTAGGAGGTATTTTTATGTTTGCATGTTTGTGTATTTTATATTGTAGGCTAATGCTTTCATGTTAAGCCATGATAAAGATAAAGCGGGGTATAAATATAATAATAATAATAATAAATATATCCACATAATGAGAATAATAGTAAGATATCCACAATAAACATAACAACAATAATAAGGAAATCCACATAATAACAATAAAGATATCCACGATAATAATAATAATAATGATTTCCAATATAATAAAGATATCCACAATAATAATAATGAAGATATCTACACAATAGCAACAATAATAAAGATATCCGCAATAATAATAATGAAGATTTCCAACAATAATAAAGATATCCACAATAATAATAATAATAATAATAATGAAGATATCTACACAATAGCAACAATAATAAAGATATCCATAATAATAATAATAATAATGAAGATTTCCAACAATAATAAAGATATACATAATAATAATAATTATAATAATAATGAAAATATCTACACAATAGCAACAACAATAAAGATATCCACAGTAATAATAATAATAATAATAATAATAATAATAATAATAATAATGGATGTGCAATCCCAGGTGACAGCAGGATTGACGAGAAGCAACTGGAAAAGCTTACATGATATGAAGATTTCAAGACTCTGGCACAAGCCAGTAAAGGTGGTCACAGTGATGATCAATACACTGGGTGCAGTGCCTAAAGACCTTGGCCATCACTTAAAAACAATTGGCACTGACAACATTACCATCTGTCAGCTGCCAAAGGGCACCCTACTCAGATCTGCACACATTATTTGCCGATACATCACACAGTCCTACACACTTGGGAAGTGTCCGATGTGTGATCAAATACAAAAGCCAGCATAGTGATCTTGTTCACTGTGTATTAATCTTGATATATATCAAATAATAATAATGATAATAATAATAATACTAATAATAATAACAATAAAGATATCCATAAACATCACAACCTCTGAGGATGCCTGCCATAGATGTAGATGAAACGTCAGGAGAGAATGCTTCTGGAACATGGCCATACAGCCCGGAAAACTCACAACCCTATCAGGGGGCACACTTGACTTTTATTTTTGTCTCTGCCAAGAATAAACAATATGAGAATTGTGTTCAGATGTTATAGCAGTGGGCATCATTTATACCACTGAAGGATGTTTGGGATGGAACTTTTTTTTTTAGTAATCATAAGCCATTCCTAGCATGCAGGGAAGTTTATTTATTATTTATTTATTTATTTAATAATAATTATTTTTTTTATTTATTTACTGCATTTGTAGACCGCCGTTCTCAGCCCTAGGGCGACTCACGGCGGTGTACAACATATAAAAAAAACAATTTACAATAAAGGCAATATCATAAACAACAATAACAACATCACTATCAATAATACAATATGTGGTAAGTTATATCCACATACCCCTTTAAGTCCAAGTTCTGTCACCATCCCTAATAGGAAAATATCCTTAGTTCTGCTCTGAAGCTGTTCCCACATCCCTCCTGAACATCCAACCATCTCTGAGGCCAGAGAAAGAAGCAGGGAAACCGGATCATTGCTTCCTTACTGCTCCGTTTGTTTTAGAGAATGCAATCAACAACTTTTATTGGAACCACTTGCAGGGTGAAGTGTGCAAACACAACTCTTCCTTATACAGAGGCAAAGGGCTGAAGGCTTTTCAATGTACAAGCTTATGCATACATGTTTAGAAGCGAGCCCCGTGCATAGCAACCCTATACTCACTTACATTAAACTCTATGGGGCTTTTGTTTCAATAGAAATAAAAGTTTTATGTATTTATATGTTTTTACTTGTATTTATGCATCTGATGTATTCCATTTTAATTGATTGTATATGTGGCATTGAATATTGCCATGTTGTAAGCTGCTCTGAGCTGCCCATATTATTTTATTTATTTATTTACAGTATTTACACCTTGCCCTTCTCACCCAAAGGGGACTCAGAGTGGTTTACAGAACACACATATGGTAAACATTCAATACTGATTATACAATTAACAAGGACAAACAACACAAACAGAGGTTAAAGCAGTTTTTCCCATCTTATTTCCAGCATCATGGAGGCTGTGCTTGGGTCTGGGCCATGGGCGGGGGGTGGGGGGAGTGCTGTCGCTCCATCTTCCATGCCAAGGAGCTTTCCTCCAATCGATGTTCTTAAGGGCGCCTTTATTACCTCCCCATTAAAAGCGGTACCTATTTATCTACTTGCATTTTTGCTTTCAACCTGCTATGTGGGCAGGTGAGCTGGGGCTAACGGCAGGTGCTCACCCTGACCCGGGCTCAAACTGGCAAACGTTCAGTCAGCAGGATTTTTGTGCAGCACAGTGGTTTAGCCTGTTGTGCTAAGCCCAGCCCCTTGGGATGAGAGAGAGCGGAATATAAATATAGTAAACAAATATAATAATAAATATGTTGAGATATGAGCATACCTACACAGAGGGAAGTCTTTATTTTACTGGAGAAGGGAATTGTGGAAACACCGGATCCACTGCATTGTTCTCCAATCGGTGAAAGACAAGGTTTTTTTTGCTTGCCGGAAAATGTCTTCCCTAAGTTGGCTTATGAACTAGATGGGTGGAGTGTGCGATCTAAAGAACAACCAATATTTGCAGAACCTGAGCCTTCATTGATTACTTTCTCACACTTTATTTATTTTAAGGATTTCTTTATTACCTTTTTGCAATAAAACATAGTTGTCAAGATCTGTTAGTCTGACTGTGCAGACTCAAGAGATCATTCCCAATTGATTGCGTTATTTATTAATTCAATCAAAACGATGAAGAGTCTGGCATTGCACTCCGATACATTATTCGTGCTTTAGGCCCCTAATCATATAATCCATATAAAATCTGGATTATCTTATTTGAACTGGATTATATGGTAGTGTAGACTCATACAATCCAGTTCAAATCAGATCATGTGTATTATCTGCTTTGATAATCTGAATTATATGGCAGTGTACAACGGGCTGTAGATGCTTCAAGTCCATTGGGTTCAAAGAGACTTAGGGTGCATTTGCACTGTAGCATTAATGCAGTTTGACACTCTCACTCCATGCTATGAAATCATGGGAGCTGTAGTTTTACAAGGTTTTTAACCTCTGCCAAAGAGGATTGTTGCCTCTCCAATGTACAACTCCCAGGATTGCCTAGCATTGAGCAATGACAGTTAAAGAGGTGCCAGACTGCATTAATTATATAGTGTAGATTCTCCCTTAGTCTCAGTTAATTGTCTAATTAGGGGTGGCCCTTCATGTGTGGTTGAAACCCCATGTTTGAATCCCAGCATTCCTCAACATTGACTATGCTGGCTAAGGCTAATGGATCTTTCAGTCCAATGATATCACAGGGCTGCATGATTCCACGCCTGTGTAATGTTGCTGCCTGAAGCTTATGTCATAAACACACTTACAAGGAAGTACTGTAAGCGCCCTTGAACAGGGAGCTGTTTGTATGTTTCTAACGAAATGTACACAGAATTGTAGTGGAAGTGGGTTAGTCCCTTCAGCTCGGGCATGTAGCTGGGGGGGCCACCATGAAATTCTCACTCAGACTCAGCCCCCTCCGAATCAAACTCAGCCCCCCCCCCCCCCAATCAAAATCCTGGCTATGGGCCTGCTTCAGCTCATTTAGTTTGGGCCATCCATAATAAATCTCTCCACCTTTACATTTCCATGAACTTCTTATTTATTTTTGGTGCTACAAACTAATTGAGCTATGTTTTTATAAAACAGAATCTTATTAATTACAAATGAAAGAACTATATAGCCCCCACTCCAAAAATCAAAGCTGGCAAGAAGAAATTAAACATATGTGAGTTTAATTTGGCTGTGCTTTTGCTCATTAGCTTTTATCTATGTGTGTATGTTTTAGGATGTAAACATTGTGTTTAATAAAACATATTTGAAAAGAAGAATAAAATTATTGCAAGAATTACTGGGTTGTTTTGGTTCCGGATGTCTGCATAATGTTTTCTGCCACCATGGCACTCTTAACAAGATGTCAGACCTTTAGTCAAAGCTAAACACTTTGAGGTGACGTTTATATCAGTAAGAAAAGTTGAAGTGACATCATTAAACTCCATCACATGTTCCATCTTTTTTAATTCAAGAACATTCATTCTACAAATGATAGAACAAGATTTTCAACAAGATTCAACACTGAACTGTGATATTCTACAGAAGAAGAGGAAAAAACAGATATTTATTGTTTTGATGGCTACAGCTTGACTTATATCCTGTTTCCTTGCAGCGTGCATCCTCAACCTTCAGGGATGCAGCAGTCCACACACAGATACCTCCCCACACCTTCAGTCCTTTTGTGAGACCCTTGAGATGGTCCTTCGGAAAGGGATGAAACGTGAGTGGCCTTTACAGCTCCATGAGTGGATGGGTGCCTGTGCCATATCGAACCTTCTTTAGGAAGACCTACTTCCCCTGTGTCTGCTTTAACAGTGCGGCATTGCATGACAATGGAGTAGGAGCAATGCTGCTGAATGCTCTGATTTTTCATTACCATCAACTGTTCATGCCTTTGTCTGCTTAACTTCCTGTCCAGAGAGCACTCAAAAGGGTGGATTATATCACTAAAATAAGTGCAAAGCCATAATTGCGACAATAATCGCCATCTAAAGCTAGGAAGGCATTCAGGGCAAGTGAAACAAGAACGATAGACATGTGAAACCTCTTGCTGCTCTAGCACAAAGTATCATGAATCCCCGCTCCCTCATTCTGTAGTTAAGGAAACCGCATTATATGAAAGAAAAAGGAGAGCAAATGAAGGCCTGCATATACATTACAAGCAGCCTGGTGTAGCATTTGTAGTATTGGCCTCAGGAAAGTCCACAGTTCAAATGCCCATTTGTCGATTAAATTAATTGTTGGCCTTTGATTCTTGAGCGTCTCTCATTCATAAACTGATTTGATGGCACTTAACAACAACAGAACGGGAAGTAACTAAGACATGGGCTAATCCTCAAGACTATTTTTGTACAATTCTCTAAAAATATTTCATTTTAATATGACTTTTACCTCAGTATGGCCACAGTTGGCCATTTGCCTGATTTTGAGGTGGCCCTGAGCCTCTATGAGGAATTTTGTTGGGTATTTTTCTTTTCAAAATAGGAAATTACTCAGGCTAGTTCTGGTTCCTAGAAAGTCTTGTATAGGCCTTCATCAAATGAGAAGATGTCAAAATGGGGTGAAATAGCCATTGAAGCCCAGAGGGTTTGGGAGGCTTTATTTTACTTCTTAGGACTTCGGTTGCAAAAGATTTTGGTGGGGCATGAAGGGATCGAAAATGGAGATGCTATGCTGGGTCCCATGTGGCTCACACAAACTTTGGAAGTCACCCATTCCTGGTGTGAAAGCCAGTTCTGGTTTTTCAAGTCCAAACAGGTGTTACATGTGTTTAATGCTTGAGACCTGCACATATTCTAAAATGTCTTTTCCTAGATATAGCTTATTGAGGCAAGTACAGTTAAATAGACCCTCCTGCACTATCACTCTGAACAGTCAATGTTTGGATGTATCACATCACACACATCTCTCTTTAGCATTGTTGCTCAAAAGTATTCTTCTCGTCTTCAGAACCAGTTCTAGGATTCAAGAAAAAGGACTATTGGCACTGGCTGGAACAGCTTCCAAACCAGGGGACCCATCACAGGTTGGTGGTCTATAGCAGGACTTCTCAAACTTTTTCCACGCATGACCCCTTTTTGCATGAGAAAATTTTACTTGGCCACAGGTACATAGGTATGCAATCAAACATTTAAGGATAATAAATCATAGAGAAATGTATTGGAAAATAGATCTTTGGTAGACATATAATTATATCATTTATTAAAGATGAAAGCCAATGTAAAACAAAGTATTTAGAAACTGAGAGTCATAGAATCACAGAGTTGAAAGAGACCTTGTGGGCCATCCAGTCCAACCCCCTGCCTAGAAGCAGGAAAATCGCATTCAAAGCACCCCCGACAGATGGCCATCCAGCCTCTGTTTTAAAGCCACCAAAGAAGAAGCATCCACCACCACACTCCAAAGAAGGAGTCTACACCACAAACCATCAAGTAAAATCAGTATGTGCCGGACATTGTTGCTAATAAATTCATGTAAATATCTAAAAAAACCATTTGGCATGAAACCTTTTACTGTTGCCAAATATTTTGCAACCCCAACATTAAGTTAAAGCAGTACCATTAACTGAATTGGAGTTGGGATCCACAGTTTTAAAAGCTTTGGTCTAGAAGCATTTAGCAATTTGAATGGGAACATAGTCTTCTGCTGATGCTGGTTTTTTTTTTTGTTTGTTTGTTTGTTTGTTTGTTTTTTTGCCTCTTAGTATTTTGTATTGAACACAGTATTAATAAAAATGGCATTAACATCATCCCATAATTAGAGGCTTCCTCTTTTTAAAAAATCAATCTTTAAAAAGCCAAAGTAGGTCATGATGATGAGCAACGTTCCTTTTGAAGTGACAAAGGGGACCTCAAAAATTACAGACCCATAAGTCTTATTGACATTGTGGCCAAAATATATTAAAAACATCTATTAGGCAAACTTGAGGACTGGATTGTCGATTTTAAAAAAACAACTTGTTGATGGGAGAACAGGCAAGGTTTAGATCAGGAAGTTCCGCAATAGAGGACTGCTTTACTTTACATCACCTTATAGCAAAGTATATCTTCGAAGGGAAACAACTCTTCACAGCATTTATTCAAAGATTAATTTTAGAGTTTTTTAATACTGGTAGCCAGATTTTGTTCATTTTCATGGTTTCCTCCTTTCTGTTGAAATTGTCCACATGCTTATGGATTTCAGTGGCTTCTCTGTGTAGTCTGACATGGTGGTTGTTGAAGTGGTCCAGCATTTCTGTGTTCTCAAATAAAATGCTGTGTCCAGTTTGGTTCATCAGGTGCTCTGCTATGGCTGATTTCTCTGGTTGAAGTAGTCTGCAGTGCCTTTCATGTTCCTTGATTTGTGTTTGGGCAATGCTGCATTTGGTGGTTCCTATGTAGACTTGTCCACAGCTGCATTATATACGGTAGACTCCTGCAGAAGTGAGAGGATCCCTCTTGTCCTTTGCTGAATGTAGCATTTGTTGGATTTTCTTGGTGGGTCTGTAGATAGTTTGTATGTTGTGTTTCCTCATCAGCTTCCCTATGCGGTCAGTGGTTCCCTTGATGTATGGCAAGTACACTTTTCCTCTGGGTGGATCTTCATCTTTACTCTTGTGGCTTGTTCTTGGTCTTGCAGCTCTTCTGATGTCTGAGGTGGAGTATCCATTGGCCTGGAGAGCCCAGTTGAGGTGGTTCAGTTCATCTTGGAGGAGGTGGGGTTCGCAGATTCTTTTTGCACAGTCTGCCAAGGCTTTAATGGTGCTTCTTTTTTGACTTGGGTGATGGTTGGAGTTTTTATGTAGATATCTATCTGTGTGTGTGTTTTCTGTAAACGGTGTGACCCAATTGTTGATCTGGCTTGCGGATGACTAGGACATCTAGAAAAGGCAGTCTTCCTTCATTTTCTTTTTCCATGGTGAACTGGATATTTGGGTGGATGCTGTTAAGATGGTCCAGGAACCTGTTGAGTTCTTCTTCTCCATGGCTCCAAATGGTGAAGGTGTCATCCACATATCTGAACCATATCGTGGGCTTTTTGGTTGCTGTTTCCAGGGCTTGTTTTTCAAAGTGTTCCATGTAGAAATTACACATGTAATTCCATACAGTCCCATGTAGAAATTACACATACGCAAGCATGTGGACAATTTCAACAGAAAGGAGGAAACCATGAAAATGAATGGCTACCAGTATTAAAAAAAACCTCTAAAATTACAACAGCACAATAACAGAGAGGAAATAAACAAGGACATCTAATCACCTCTCAACACAAGTTTGCTCCAGGCACTGTCAGGCCATTATATGCTAATCAAGATGGTCAGTTGAAACATTCACATCTAGCTCCAGCAGACAAGAGTCCTTTGTCCCACCCTGATCATGCCACAGATATATAAACCCTTTTTCCTAGTTCCAACAGACCTCACTACCTCTCAGGATGCTTGCCATAGATGCAGGCGAAACGTCAGGAGAGAATGCCTCTAGACCATGGCCATATAGCCCGAAAAAACCTACAACAACCCACTATTACAGGAATGTTAGGACAGGGATTTATGTTTATTGTGTCTTTGCATACTTGTCTTTTGTCTTTTACTGATGATATGATATGGTCAGAGGACTAATCAATAAACAAATCTATCTAACTTTCCTTTTGAAAGCCATAGTTTTCAGAATTCTTAGTCCTGTTCCTTGAGAAGTGTTGAGGAAAGGATCACGGAAGGTGCATGGGTTTTCCTCTACATTTCAAGTGACTTCATAAAAGTCCTAGCAGTTGATACTAGGTTTAAAAGTAAAGTAGGATTCAGGGTAACAGTGTCTTTTCTCCCTATAGTATGCCACATCTATCAGTGATCATTGAGAAGACTAATTCTTGTGAGAAGCTGCTGACGGCACAAGGAAGAGGGCGGTACTTTCTGCGCCATGCTTTGAATAGGAAGTTACTGGCTGTTGCTCTTCAGCAGCTTGTCAAAGCTCCCAGGCTATTTGAGGTGGGAATGTTCAATAATAATCCATAGGAATTAAGAAGGAGCATCTAATTTAAGTAATAAAGGGATGCAACACTTTCTGTTCTTTTCCTGAACTTCTCTCGGGACATGCAAGAGGACACGCGTGCTATGTTGAACATCTGGTTTGTATGGCATTTCTATATTCATATCAACATGATAGAATCCACATGCATGCATTTTTGAAGTTGTGGTTGGCTTTTGCTTTATCCAAAGGACAGCAGAGTAAATGTTCATTATATATTTCAGTTTATCAAGAAGAACATTTAACTACTTTTTAAAATATGACCGTAAGACTTCAAGTCCATTTTGGGAAAACCTGGTAGTGGCATTACCTTGATCTCCCAGGTCTAAAATCCAAATCCACTTTAGATTGTGTACACTTTTAATATTTGTCTCTTGCTTCTGATGCACATGCATCCTTGTGATCAATTAATTTAAGTCATTTTATTTGTGTGTGTATATTTCTGTCTGCTTTCAGTGGTATGATCCATTGACCTCTATCCTGGGTAATGAAGAATTTTCTGGTGAGTTTCCAAAACACCATCACAATCCCACCACACTGCACTTCACAGCATTCTAGGGAGTGCATGGCATGGATCTGATTCAACTACATTCTAGTCCAGGAAACTTAAAATTATCATAAGTTTGTTAGGCCAAACTGTAGTTGCTGCTCTCCGTGGGAGTGGTCCATTTGAATCAATGGGTTATCTTGTAAATCAACACTTATGTGCAGTACTGTATGTATATAGCTTGGGTCCAGGTTACTTTGAGGATTGTAATAGTCCTGACTTGTAGACAGGTCTGCTCTGATATGTCACAAATCTTTTTATTAAAAGAATGCTTAAAATGTTCTAGCCCAGTGGTTCCCAACCTGTGGTCCGTGGCCCACCAGTGGTCAACAAAAATTAAAATACGATCTGCATCCTCACCATTACTACACCGTTGCCTCAAAACTACGCAGCAATGAGAGCAACTGGTCTCGCGAAACCCTCTTATAATGCCAAGGCAATGGGGATATCAGGAGTGGCGGGCGGAGAGGCTGATTACCCACAAAAGATTACTACTACCACATCAGCTCTAGATTATTAAATATTGTTTTTGGTGGGCGAGCAGATGGCAACTACTGGATGGCATATGTTCTATATCAGAAACTAGAGCTGATGTGGTCTAGTCAATGGAGTTTTCTGAATCAGCAGCCCAAATATCCAAACCAAATCTAAAATTGACCAAAAACCAATTTGTAACCCTTTTGGTACTAATGTTGGAGAGTGCTCCATGGTCAAAAAAAGGTTGAGAACCACTGTTCTACCTTCTCCAGGAAACTGTGAATTGATATATATGGTTCCAGATTCATTGCAATGCCATAATGACTGAGGAGCTCTATATGGCTTCATATGTCGTTTTCCTTAAAGCTTGTGTGAGGAAATACTGTATAGGGCTACAACTCTTAGAATCTCCCAGACACAATGGTCATTAACCACATTGATTGGGGGATTATGCCCTATTAGGATACATATTCTGTGATAATACCACACTTAGTAACCTCTGCGTGGTTGAATCCATAGGTACAGTATCTGTTGATACAGAGGGCCAACTTCAACTGTCCTTTAGAATGGTTTGCATATTGTTTTAGGGAGTCTTTCGCTTCTTGTGGCTGAATGTGAGATCCCCTGGTATTTTATGGTCTCTCCATAATGGCTATGACACTGTTGATTAATGAGCCTCTAAACCTGGTCAGGAATTGTACATTGACCTTGGTCCTTGGTCCTCTTCTTCCAGAGCCTTTCCTCTCCCTGATGCTTGTGGTGACAGAAATGAATTTCTCCCTAGATTTGCAGGTATGGTAACAAATGTCTTTAGGACAAAGTTTTCATGCAATATCTCCAGTGTAGTATATGTACTGCAGTCTTTGTTTTAACCTTTGCTATCCTTTGGCTTTCCCTCTCATAGTTTGCTGTACTTTTTCTTTATAGAATTCAAGTTTCTTGGACGAAAGCTGGCAACTTCCGGTAAGAGGTTTTGGTTCAACTTCTTAAGATCCTCTTCTTGCTTGGTTCACACTTTGCTGTTTTATAGATGGTGGTGGCCATGAAAGATATTCACCCCAAAAGCAAAAGGCAAAATCGACCCTTTGTTCTAGATTGGAGTTTTGTTTTTTCTTATTTGTTATTGTGTCGTAGAAATGGAGATTGGAGCCAGGGAAATGATGTGCCCTTGGAAATCTCCCTAACTTAATGAGTTACTTCATGCCCCTGTGTTTATATGTACAAGATGGCGCAGTGGGTTAAAGTGCTGAGCTGCTGAGCTTGTTGACCGAAAGGTCGCAGGTTCGATTCTGGGGAGCAGCGTGAGCTCCCTCTGTCAGCCCTAGCTTCTGCCAACCCAGCAGTTCGAAAACATGTAAATGTTAGTAGATCAATAGGTATTGCTCTGGCAGGAAGGTAACAGCGCTCCGTGCAGTCATGCCGGCCACATGACCTTGGAGGTGTCTATGGACGATGCTGGCTCTTCGGCTTAGAAATGGGGATGAGCACCACCACCCCAGAGTCGGACATGACTGGACTTAATGTCAGGGGACAACCTTTAATTTTACCTTACAATCATACATTCAGCCTTTCATGCAGTAAAAGTCTGTTTGTGAAATATGAACTTTTTTCTCTCAATGTACAAACCATGTTTCCTTTTGACTGCTTTGCTTTCCTAAACCCTTTCACACTACAAACTTATATCACAATGATCCCACTTTAACTGCCATGGCAGCAGCCTGTGGAATCCCTTTGGGACTTGTACGTTGCTCAGAGGACTAGAGATGCTCCAGACTGAGGATTTTCAGGGCCCTTCCTCACCTGAAACTTGCAGAACAGAATCCAGAACTTCCAGGACAGAATCATAACAGTTCAAGTGGAATAATTGTACTATAATCGTGCTGTGTGAGCAGGCCTCTCATATCTTGACTTGGTTTTTTTTTTTAATGGCCATCTATATTTCATACATATACATTTTACTTTAAGATTAGAAACAGTGGAGGTGGGTGGTTCTGATGTTAGTTATGTGATTAATTTATTTTGACCCACCTTCTAAAGCAGGCGTGGATAAACTTCGGTCCTCCAGGTGTTTTGGATTTCAACTCCCACGATTCCTAATAGCTGGTAAGCTGGCTGGGATTTCTGGGAGTTGAAATCCAAAATACCCGGAGGGCTGAATTTTGCTCATGCCTGTTTTAAAGGAATTATCCAAAATGTTGGTCTCTTGACCTTAAGCAACTCCTTCAAAATGTGGACTATGTTCCTGGAAGAGATATGGGCTTCACTAAAAAGGGAGACATCAGCTGCCAACGGAAGGATTTGGCTTCAGCTGGGTCATAGTTTATACGTGACAAATCACTTCATCACAAGCAAGATAGTTTTAAATGTGTATCCTAATGTAAATGTGTTTCTCAGGGGATGGATGACATGGTAATTTCTTTTGCGTTATGCAAACCAGATTGGCCCAGTATTAGCCCCTGCTGGCAAATTTCTTTTTCTTTTCTCTGTGTGTACAGTAAAGATAATGAATGGCTCCACTTAGGCTGTTCCTCCAAGCTGTATATGTCTGAGTTCAGGAGATCGTGTTTCATTTTAATCCAAGCTGTGAAGAACTCCATTACTAGTTCATCTTAGAAGAAGACTGGGGAATGTTTGGTAGGCTGCCTCACACACAGAATCCCTAATCTTTTGCCATGGAGTCATTTGGTAGCTAAGGTCCAACAATAGCTGGAGGGTCAAGAATTCCCAACGGTGCCATTGAAGCCAAAAATCGTTATTGCTCGTTTTTTTTTAATGCATAAATGGCAAACTCTAGACTTTGTAAAGTAAATAATCCCCAAATGGAAGTAAAATACGTCATCATTGCTAAGGCTCTGCATTGTGAAGGGGGATTTCTTCAAGCTTAAGGTAAAGGTTTCCCACTCTGGGGGGTGGCCACCTCTCCATTTCTAAGCTGAAGAGCCAGCTTTGTCGGTAGACACCCCCAAGGTCATGTGGCCAGCATGACTGCATGGAGCACTGTTACCTTCCCGCCGGAGCGATATCTATTGATCCACTCACATTTGCATGTTTTCAAACTCTAGGTTGGCAGAAACTGGGCTTAACAGCAGGCGCTCACCCTGCTCCTCTGATCTGAACTGCCGATCTTTTGGTCAGCAATGATGTACCAAGTTCAGCAGCTCAGCGGTTTCACCCGCTACACCACCAGAGCCTCCAAACTGATTAATCCTTCTTTTCAGGTTTGCCTGATGTACGAAACTGTCCCCTGCAGAGAACTTGGAATGGTGCTCAGGTAAGAGATCTGATGCTTTACTATGTTGCCAAACCTTTTTAAAATGTGTGTAGGAAAACTCATGGAAACAGCTAAAATGTGGTCATTAAAACAATGTACATCAATCTGATTCACTGTTCCACATTCTGCATCTGATAATGGTGGCTGTCAGATGTCTTAGTTTGATATGTGTTGTTATTTTATGTGATGTGTTTAATAATGTTTAATGTTTTATCAAGGGAGGGTCTATTTCGATGTTTCATACTGTTTTTTATTGATGGCATTGAATAGTCACCAACACTGTGAACTGCCTTGAGTTGAGAAGGGGTTGAGAAGGGCTGGATATAAATACCGCAAATAAATAAATAATAAATAATGCCACAGCATTGGAAATTGGAATGCACTTCCCCAGGCTTACTGTAGAGATTTTACCAAGTACTGCCTATACGTTTTGAGACTGGTTCTTGCTCCCATAGAGCAATATAAAAGAGAACCAGTCTGGTACAGTGGTTGGATTCAGACTACAAACCGCATTGAGTCGGATTCAAACCGCATTGAGTCGCCTGTTCGGGCTGAAAAATGCGGTATAGAAATGAAGCAAATAAATAAATAAATAATAAACTACAGAGACCTTGTGTCTAAAACTTTGTTGGAGTAGTGGTGTTATTTATCTAAATCACTTTTTGGGAAGGAAATCCTTTTGTTTTACAAATCTTTTACTTTTAAAGTATCAAGTGTGACCAGTCTGTTGCTCTCCCAAAGTAACAAATAACTGCTGACATGTTGCTTGTTACAAATGGTGTATTTATTATTTCGTACATTTGTACCCTGTCCTTCTCACCCCTCGGGGGCGGAGGGGGGGGGGACTCAGGTGGCTTCACAACAAACACTCATTCGAGTGCTAACTACAATTATAAAACATATTTTAAAACAGTTTATTAAAATATTAAGAAACATTTTATTACAATCACGCTCATTTAAAATCAGTGCCTGGGACAGTCCATTGTCATACATATCACATTGAGTCTTATTCCCAATTGCTGCTGTTACTGTTCAAATCCTTGGTCTCATAACCAGGTTTTGAATTTTTTTCTAAAGGACAGGAGGGAGGTAGCCAATCTGATGTCACTAGGGAGAGAGTTCCACAGGTGAGGGGCCACCACTGAGAAGGCCCTGTTTCTCGTCCCCACTAGTTGCGTTTGCAATGGTGCTGGGTTTGGGAGCAGGGCCTCTCCAGCTGATCTTAAACTTTGTGATGGTTCGTAATGATGTACCAAGATCTATTTGAATCCCACAGCATTCAGAGGACCCCACAAGTGTATTCTATATTTCAACCAAAACTGTGTTTCAATGTGGCATTGACTTCTCATTCTGTCAAGTCTTTTGACTACATTCCAGCTTGGCAAGATATCCAAAGCAGGAACAGAAGTTGTCTCTTGCATTAAAGGGCCACATGTGGAGTTCTCACATATTCATGAATGGAGATGTACTTAGTGATGCCCTTCTTAGACATGTGGTGTGCATACAACAGAAAAGGAATATACTAGTATACCATACTAATCATCACCTTTGCAGTGTAAAAGTGCATACAAGTTGATATTGTTTATTTCACATTGACTCAGAGGTTTCTTGTTATGTTTGTGCAACACATCTACACACTGCAGCCAACACACTAGGAATCTTAGTAGGCCATGAGCTGAACATGAGTCAAAAGTGTGATACAGCATCGAAAAGCCAATGCAGTTCTAGACTGTATCAATAGTAGAGTGTCTAGATCGAGGGAAATCATAGCCACGCTATATTCTACTTTGGTCACATCTCAACAAGAGTAACGCTATGTCCAGTTATGAGCATCACGATTCAAGGATATTTACAAGCTGGAACATGTCCAGAGGAAGCTGATCAAAATGGTCAAAGGTTTGGAAGCCAAGCCCTGTGAGGAATGGCTTAGGCAGCTGGATATGTTTAGTCTGGAGTAAAGAAGGTTGAGAAGGGACATTTTGAATATTTGAAAAAGAGAGCCAGCTTGTTTTCTGCAGCTATGGAGACTAAGCCACAATGGAGCAGTGGAGTCAAATTTCAGGAAAAGGGATACCATCTAAACATTAGGGAGAACTTCCTGATAGTAAGAGCTGTTTGGCAATGGAATTGGCTGTCTTTGGAGGTTTTTAAACAGAGATGGGATTGATATCGAGCTCTTTTGGGGGGCCTCCCAGGTGGGAGAGCCCAAGGACCGCACCAAAGAGGGTCCCGGATACCTTGGCGAGATTTTTCCGGAAGCCAATCCAAGAGCGCAAAAAGTTGGGGGGGCGAGAAGGGCGGGACAGAAGAGCGAACTTACCTCGCTTCCTTACCTACTAGGGAGGATGCTGTTATGGTTCGTCCGCTTCCCCAGCTGCGCAAAGTGTGGTTCTTCGTCTATTGTGTGGTGCCAAACGCTTGCGTCTTCCTACCTGTCTGCACTTGGAGTCTGACGCTTTCGCTCGCTGCGACACGCCTCTTCACTATCCGACTGTGAAGGCGGATCTTTGCTCTCTCTTTCCTCGAGCTTTCGTTTCTTATTGCGTGCTGG